CGGAAGTCTTTTTTTTTAATGCCTGGAGTCGGTAGAGTCCTATGGGTCCTTTTCTTTACCGACCTTTCAATCATGAAACTGTCATTCAGTTTCTTCGTAATCCAGAATTGTATTTGATAACAAGCCAATCAGTGTGAAATGAATTTGCAAAGATACTATGGAAAGCACAAGCCAATGTGTGCAATTTGCTCTCAAAAGGGGCTTCTATTATGCTGTGACTATTGCTCGCTTGCATACCACCCTGAGTGTCTGTCTCCTCCCCTCAAGTCGCAACCTCAAGATTTCTGGGCATGTCCTCGGTGTGAGTACCATGCCAAAAGTAGCTTCTCGATTCACTCTTTCCAGTTAGCTGCAAATACAACGGGTCCAAGTTCCATCGATCCGCCGATCACCTCGAAGCTCCGCGTTGGCTCTGCCTTTCAGTTGAAACAGACGCATTCTCGGTTTTTTCCGCGTTTCTAGCTCATTCTCAGAGGTGAAAATGGTCGAACCCGATTACACATCTTCACGAGCGGGTATCGAGGCGTGTATTCGCGTGCCGGAAAGTGGAACGCGCAGATTCAATACAACGGGAAGAAAGTGGTGAGTCCTAACGTTCTCAATGCATCGTAGTATCTCGGGAGCTATTCCAGCGAAGAAGAGGCGGCGCATGCTTATGATATCGCTGCAAAACGCTATCACGGAAGCAAAGCGATTCTGAACTTTCATACCGAGGATGGAGCGTCCTGTCGTAATCCCCTTCAGGTGAACAGCAAACCGACTTCGAGGCAGAATTCGATCGTTTCGACAGCGAGTGATCCTTGCGAATCGAATCGGGAGACCAGCGCTGTCTCGAGCCGAATTCAGAGTATTGACACAGAACTTCATGCTTGTAGATCCATTTGGAGGAGTAGCATGTAGGCTCGCCCATTATTTATGTGGATACCACCGAACGAAGAAATGTGTTAAGGTTAAACCGGGAACAGTACCAGCTTTTTTGTAGATCTCTGGAGTATTGATCGAGATCTCTGTGATTCTTTGCCTTTTTGTGTTGCTGTTTGTTGCTCTATTGTTTTTTTGATTCCATGCCCAAGACTCGTATGACTGCTCTCGACGTGAGAGCATGCGTGAACGAACTGAAAGGGATCGTTCTCGGAGCAAAACTGGCGAACGTGTATCTGTTTTGTTTGTTCTTTCCTACTGCAGATACGACGTCTCGAATAAAGTGTACATACTCAAGTTAATGAAGGGCGGAGCCCAATATAACCTTGTAATCGAAAGTGGTGTTCGGTTCGTCATGTTAGGATTTGTTTCCTCTCTAGGGTCCATCTCACCAAGTATTTGCGTGAGAAAAACCAATTCCCTAATACCTTTTCGCAGAAATTGAGAAAGCACATCCGAAATCGAAGGATTGAAGCTGTCCGTCAAATTGGCTTTGTAAACATGGGTGGAGGAGTTTATTGCTGTAGGACCGTGTGGTCGATTTAGTGTTTGGCAATGGCGAGACCACCTATCACGTAATCGTGGAGTTGTACTCCGGAGGCAACATTATTTTGACGAACTACGAATTTGAGGTGATGTTCCTGCTGCGTTCCTACACGTTGAACGATGGAACCCAGGTGGACGTCAAGCACCAATACAATTTCCATCCCAGTATTTGATTCTCCCTTCCGCGGATCTTTTTCTAGAACAGCACAGCCCCTTCGATGCCATCCAATCCCTCACCGTCTCCTCTCTCAAGGACTCCATCTCGGTTCTTCTCTCGCGTTGGAGCGAGTTAAAATCGAAGGAAAAACAGGCAAAATCCGTTCTGTGCGCCAATCATCTCATCGCTCTCCTCGGACCGCTTTTTGCCGCCAAATGTCTTCGCCTGGTCAACGTGGACCCCGCCTCCACCACCGAAAACGAGGCTTTTTTCGCCAACGAAACGGACCTCGCGCGATTACTCGCGGTTATCCAATCCGAAGCGCGGTCCCTCGAACAATCCATCGAATCCCCGCGGGGCTACATTCTCTGCGAGGGAGATCCGGTGCCGGCCACGGAAACGACTCCCGCGTACGAGCCATTCGTGGAATTCGGTCCGTTCGAAGTGCCGTTGGCGGGAGGCGAATCTTCGCGGGAGTTTTCTTCGTTCAACGAGTGCATCGACGCGTACTTCGTCAACGAGGAGAATCTTCGCGTTGCCGCCAAGCTGCAGAAGTGACCGTCCCGCGGTTCTGTGATGCGTAGATCGCGGGAGGCGATCAACAAGCGCGTGGAAACCATCTCGGCGAAGCAATCGGCGCGGATCCGCGCGCTGGAGTCGGAGATCGCGGCGTGTCGGCGGCGCATCCGCGCGCTGCAGAGCTACCCGACGGTGGTGAACACGGCGATCGTGGTGCTGAACCAGTATCTCAGCCAGGGCGTGCAGTGGAGCGTGCTGCAGGAGCAGGTCAAGCTGCTCAAGCAGCGTCCGTATAATGTGTTCCACCATATCAAGCAGCTTGATCTGGAACACAATCGTGTCAAACTGGAGTTTGACGATGACTTTGACGACGACGACGATGACGACGACGACGATGACAACTTGGAAGACGAAGATGACAACTTGGAAGACGACGATGACAACTTGGAAGGCGAAGCCAAGATGGCGGCAGCCTCGTCTCGCTCAGAATCACCGCACAAAATCAACGTGGACGTGGAGCTGAGTCTGAACTGCAACCAGAACATCTCCCTTCTCTTCTCTCAGAAGAAAGATCTCCAAGACAAGCTCGACAAGACCGTCCAGGCCGCGCAGGCCGCCGTCGCCGAGGCCTCCAAGCAGCGCCAGACCGAGCTGCGCGTCGCCGAGGCCGCCCACCCCGCGGAAATCGCGCGGCAGCGCGAGAAGCGGTGGTTCGAGAAGTTCGACTGGTGCGTCACCACCGACGGTTTCATCGTGCTGGCGGGCAAGTCCGGCGAGCAGAACGAGATCCTCGTGCGCCGCTACCTCCGTCCCGGCGACCTCTTCGTAGCGCTCCCCGCGGGACCTCACTCCTAGCTGCACGCCGACGTGCACGGCGCCGCCACCGTGGTGCTGCGCAACTACCGCGCCCCGGAATTGCCCGGCGAAGCGGCGCTGCTGCAAGCGGCGGCGTTCGCGCTGTGCCACTCCTCGGCGTGGGACGCGCAGCTGCTCTGCAAGGTCTACTGGGTGCCCGCCAGGCAGGTCAGCAAGACCGCGCCCTCCGGGGAGTATTTGCCCACCGGCTCCTTCATGATCCGCGGGAAAAAGAACTTTTTGGCGCCGTATCGCATGGAAATGGGGCTCACGGTTCTATTCGAAGTTCGCCCCGAGGACGTGCAGCGGCACTTCTATGACCGAAAACCGCGGGAAATGGAGGACGCGGACTGGGAGACGCTGGTGAAGCACGGAGTCCCGCGGGTGGACACGGCGGAATCCGCGAACGACCCGGAAGTGTTCGACGAGGACGCGGAGGATTACGTGATCGAGGTCATGGACAGCGTTTCGGCGCCGAAAACCGCGGGGAAGGCGGTGGTGCGTGGGCGTGTGGACGTGAAGAATTCGAAGAATTCGAAGAACGCGAAGAATTCGAAGAATTCGAAGAGCGAGGAGGCGAAGGGCGGGAAAAAGAGCCTGAAGGGAACCACGAAGAAATCGCGCGCGCTGGCGGAGGAGCAGGCGGAAATGGAGGCGTTAATCGCGGAACAGACCGAGGAACCGCGGAAGAAGGAGATGTCCCGCGGGGAAAAGAGGAAGATGAAGAAGATGAAGAAACACGCCGCGGTGGACGACGAGGAGCGAAGGTGGAAACGTGGAAACGGGGTAACAGGTAGATTGATGGACGTCCTCTATGGACACACGACCGTGGAAACGCTTCTCGCAGAGGATGCCAAGAAAACCGCGGAAAAGAAGAGTGGAAACGAAACTGCCATTCATCGTGGAAATCAAAATGAAACTCCCATTAATCATGAAAATGGAAATGAAACGCCCTCTCTCTTGAATGAAACGCCCGCTTCCACGGAGGCTGCGGCGATTCTGCAGGATTTGATGGGTCTTTCGCTCGCCGCGGAGCCGGCGGCCGCTCCCGCGCTTCGCTGCTTCACGTGCGGCAGCAGTGAGCACGACCAGCGAAACTGCCCGGAGAGTTGGCGGGTAATCGCGGGAATCGAGGGCGTTCTCGAGGACCAGCCCGAAACCGCCAAAGACGCCGACGAAACTGGAGAAACTGGAGAAACTGGGGAAACGGAGGAAGCAACGCGGGATACCGCGGATTTCCTGCTGAACTGGACGTTCCGCTCGGTGGAGGGAGATGGCATCCTGCATGCCGTTCCGATGTGTGCGCCGTATAGCGCGATCGTGGAGAGTCCGTATCGTGCGAAGCTGACACCCGGAAAAATGAAGAAGGGAGCGATGGCGAAGAGTGTTTTGGAGGGATGGATCAAGTCAGCGACGAATGAGATGGAGAAGAAGGCGTTAAAGCAGATTCCGATGCAAGACTTGATCAGCGTGATTATCAATAATTCGAGAGTCGCAGTGTCGGGTGCAAAGGGGAAGAAATGCAGTGTTTGTTGAAAACATATTATAGTTGAATTCTTATCGCTTGTAGTTGAGCCAAATGGAGAGTGCACAAACACCCGATGAAGACAGCATGGATTCCGCATTCCAAACGCCGTCCACCTCCGCATCCAGCTTGGATACGGAAAGTGATGATAGCTCGACTACATCGATCGATACCGTACTCTTAAACTTTATTATCGATGTAAAAACTGGATTTAGTGCCAACTTGTAGTTAATTCGCAACGACGCAATTAACCGGCTGCGCATGACGCCCGACATGGTTCAGAAATTAGAGCTCATTGAAAAAATCGCATCCAAATATGGTAATCATACAGGTGGGCAAAAACCTTTTAGGAATCCGCCGGGACAGTATCGCTGTTGGAGAAGGCAATGTGATCGACTATTTGGAGCACTATGCCAGTTCCGATGAGCAAGTGGATAGAATCATCGAGCGAAACTACTCGTCCATGCAAAATCTTCGAGCTCACATTCTCCACGAAGAAGAGCTAGTCGATCCCTCCGAGTCAGTCTCTTTCATAGCTGATTCGGATGATGTCTCGGCTATTGACTTTAATGTTGAGGTTGATCACGAGAAAACTCCACACCACAATTCGACTCACTATGAGATCACACCAATTCCACCCAAACCCATCCAATTACCCACCTTCAGCGATTCCATCTCCATTCTTTCCCAAACCGAATCTCCTCCTCCCATTCTTCTCCCGCCTTCCCCGCCTCATTTCACCCCCAATTCCCCCTCCGACGAGTTCCCATCCCCGCGGTTCTCTCCTCTAGAGTCCTCTCCCAAGCCTCCACATCAGATTCCGCCGTGACATCCGATCCGCTCTGCGAATTCGCTTCGAACCCCGAATCCATCGCGCGTTTCACTCGCCTCATCGGCCACGAAGACGTTTTCCCCGCGGTCTTCGACTCCAATAACCGCGGGGTGGACTTCTATTTCCTCCCAGTTTACTACACGCCGCAATTGTGCGGATTCGCACCGGATTCCGCGCTGAAAATCGCCCCGAATTCGGTCATCGCGGATCGGTACCTAATTCTGCGGGAATTGGGACAGGCCACTTTTTCGATCACCGTGGAGTGCATCGACATGCGAGCCGCGGGAAACGAGCATTTGTGTCTGAAGGTGGGTTTCGCGGGGAGGAATGAGTCCAGATCATCAAAAAAAGGGACTATTTTTTCGACCAATCACTCGACGAAATTCGCATTTTGCGCTATTTGAACAATTTGCCGCGCAGCGAAGCCGCGCATTTGCTTCGCCTCCACGACTACTTCTACAACAAACAGCACTTGTTCATCGTCACCGAAGTGGTTTCCACGTTTCCACTTTTCCTTCTAGCTGCTCCAGAACAATCTCTACGAGTTCAGCTGCCTGGCGCGGTCGTTCCCGCGGAAATACTTCACTCTCCCGCGGGTACGCCGCATTCTGCAGCAGGTTTTGGAGGCGTTACAATTCATCCACGCGCACAACGTCGTGCACTGCGACCTCAAGCCGGAGAACATTCTCCTCTGCGACATTCCCGCGTAAATCTCGCGGCCAATCTGCTTCGTAGCGCGCAGGTCAAACTGGTCGACTTCGGCGGCGCCAATTTCATCCGGAGCATTCGCGATGTCGGCACACACCCCTACATCCAATCGCGAAGCTACCGCGCGCCCGAAATCATCCTCAAAATCGCCTTCGACGAGCGCATCGATCTCTGGTCGCTCGGGTGCATCGCTGCCGAGCTCCTCACCGGCGAGTTGCTCTTCGATAATTCCAGCGTTGCCGCGCTGCTCACCTCCGCCTCCGCCATTTTGGGACCGATTCCCGCGTATTTGCTCCGCGTCGCGGGGCTGGAAACCATCCGGCAGGGCGGACGGACCTTCGTGAAGATGGAGAAGGGGCTCTGGGAGCTGGAGCCGCCGCGGCGCGATCTGCGGAGCGTGCTGCAGACGGGGGATTTGGATTTTGTGGACTTCGTGTGGGGATTGCTGCAATGGGATCCGATGGAGCGGATGACGGCGAGCCAGGCGCTGAAGCATCCGTTTATTGCGAAGGAGAGGGAGTGCGAGTTGTTTGAGTGGGAGGGAGAGTAGAGGAGGATGTGGAAAAATGGTATTAAAGAGACAAAGGGGAGTGTTTTTTGTAATTGAAATGGATTGAATCGATGCGATGGATGTTTGTTGGAAAAGCAATGAATGAATGAATGGGAGAGGGGGATGTGTGTTTTGTGGGAGATCAAATCAAAATCGAGCAAGGGAGTTGTGGGATGGCGGATGGCGGTGTGTTTTTCTATTGGTGTGAAGATCATAACATAGAATTTCGATTTTAGCATTTTCACTCATTCATTCATAAACCATCCCTCCATCCCTCCATTCATTCAATTCATTCATTCATTCATTCACTTCTGTTTCGAATAAACAACATCATACACTATATCTAAAAAGCTCTTCTTTCAGACTCAAAAACTCCTATTCCTCACTCCTTTCATCCTTCATTACATCATACAACTCTGCTCCCAATCGCGCGTACACCGACTTCGCTCCATGATATCGAACGGCATTATCCACCATTAACTTCATGTCCTGTTCCAAATCATCCACAGAGTGATAGAGCCCTTGCCTCAATTTTATCTACTCATTAAAACAATCCAAGTCGTCTCGATCCCCACCTTCATGTCTGTAAGACTAATAGGATGCGGAATTACCTTCAAATAATCCAGCAAATTGTATTTCCGAAGGTAATCCTCCGATAAAATCTACAGAGAGAACGCAATCTGGAGAGATGATACGGGACGGAAGGGATTGTCGCCTTTGCATTCTTCCCACGATTTGTCGTACAAAATGTTGAGAATCTTGCGAAGCTTGACTTGAATCTAGTCAAGAGTTGGCGATATTAGATACGGAATTAAGGGGTTTTTCTTGATGACGCAGACGGGGACGCTTTAAACTTATCCATTGCTTAATGCCGTCAATCAGGTGTTTATCTTTCATCTATTTGTAAGCGAAAAGATTAAACGCATACGCAGAAGGGAGTGACACGACTCACTTTACTTGGATTGCCATGAATTGTGCTAATACCTTGAATTTGCTTTTCGCTAAGAGGAAGGATCTGCACATCCTTGGGGTTTTCTTTTGAAATATCGAATAGTCCTATACGATTGTTTTCCGCCACATTCGCTACCATATAAAGGTTTACCACCTGTCGAGAATTTTCTACATTCATCGTCGCTCCTACTATATCCAGGAAATAGAAAGGAGTATGATGGTTCGGTCTATGCTAGAAACGACTATGAACGTGCTACAATCTTTGGGTAACGTGCTTCGATTCCTTGCAGACCGAAGCGAGCCAAAAAATTATCCTCCATAAACAAAATAGTGTTCCAACAAACATCACAAACACTTTTCTTATTAGCACACCTGTTTCTGCAGAGCAATGAAGATAGCCCAGATCCAGCTCCAGATGTATCCAATACCAAAACAGCCAACAATCAGCTGGGCAATACCGCAAATAATAACATTCGAATCCTTTCCATCAATAATACCTCCCACAATGGTTCCGGTACCTATATATCACTTATGATTGCAACACCATACCAGAAATGAAAATATTCAAAATCACACACACAATACGCATGGCATCGTCCTTCACTTTGGGAATTCGGAAAAAAGAGCTACCCATGGTTGTCCAAGATTATCGAATTAAAGTTTGCAAAAACACTGGCTAGGGCGGGTGGAACATCAACAGCCAATCAAATGAAGATTCCAAATTTTCGGCATCGGCTAATTAAATTAACGGCTTTGTTTGATTCAACACATTTAAAGTAGTGGGCTTGCTGCAAGGGCAGCGAGATATGAATCGCTTGACTTGAACAAACAAAAGCTCCCTAATTAACCCGATTAAACACAAGCGTTTTTGATCTTGTAGTGCACTCTTCACAGAACCATTTCTCCTGCCCTTCACTGCCATCTGCGAGGCTTCCAGTCGGTTCACTCGACGGTTGACCATTCAAGCAGCTCTTATGAAATCCCTTGTTGCAACAATTGCAGAACTTGAAGTCCGAGTCATTCCCAGTGTTCCCGCATATCTACGAAAACCATCAAATTTCGATTCGCTTTCGTACTTTACAAACCGCTTCCTTCTGCTGCTCTGACTCCTTTATCGTGTGAAACCGGAGAGCGCAGTCCTCTTCCACCAATCGAATTCGTTTCGGTTTATGAAACGCCGCCTACGAGAATCAAATCAATTTTCGTGTTTCTTTTACTTCCGCGACGACATCGGCGCGACATCGCAGCACCCAGAACCAGTCCATCAGCACAATGTTCCACACACTCCCCTTCTCGCCTCTACTCCATAAATCCCCCCGATTTCTGCCACTCCAATAAATGGCGATGCGACAGCGGGTCGAATGCCACAATTTCGCACGTTTTCCACTGCAAATCGACGAACAAATCGACCCACAATCCAATCAGGCGATTCCCGCGGGAATACGAACAACAATTGCACACAAATCCCGCGGCTTCGCTCTGCCGCTCAATTTTTGCCGCCAAACCTACCGTGTTGGTCACGTCGGAATATGGATTTCCGCAGAACAAACAAACCGCGGGAGTTTCGGAGGTTTCATTGAGGAGTTTCTTTCGGTCAGAATTCCAAAAATCGGGGCTACTTCGGTCGCCCAATCCATCAACTCGGGATTTGCCGCGGGGAAGTCTTGGATTTTGGTGGGAATCGATTCGTAGAAGACGTGAATCGCGGTTTTCAGCACATTCTGGGTGGCAAAATTCCCGCCAATTTTACGTTTTGTCGCAAAATCGCGTCGAATTCTGGAATTTGGGTTTCGAGGAGTTTCATCCACTGGTCTTCGGTATCGAATTCTCCCGCCCTTCCGCGCTGCAGCACGTGATTCGCGCCGCTCATTTCTACGATCGACGATTCCCGCGGGACTCACCGAAAAACTGCGACAAAAAAATCCACATCGCGTGGGCTCGCAACAACCGCAGACGATTCCCTGGTTTCTCCGGTTTCTCCGATTCCCCAGTTTCTCCAGTTTCTTCAGGTTCCGCGGGGAAAAGCTGCAGGAAAAGGGGTTCTTGCTGGATTCCCGCGGTTCGGGGCGTTCGGAAAAGTCGGTCCTCGAGGCGGATCCGCGGTTCTAGAATCAGAGAAACGTGGAACCCCGACCGTCGGCGAAGAGTTTGGCGAAGAAACGCTCGATGGCGTGGAAACTGCGGTCGCAGTCGCTTCGCCGCGCCAAAATTCCCTCGAATTTCGCCAGCGCGTGGGCCAGGGAGGGAGACTCCCCCGCGGGGAACGCCTCGGTGCGTTGGGCGGGAGCGGGAATGAAAGCGGGAAGCGGGGCCTGGAGCGTTTGGAGGGAATGGAAGGAAATCACGCGGACTTCGCCCGGCTCAAAACCGCGGAACTTCCACCGCGGGGAATTTGGTGGGGAGGGCTGGGTTTCTCCGTTTCCACTATTCATGATTGGGCTTCCACGATTCTCTAATTCTTCATTTCCCCGATTCTCTGTTTCCATGTTTCCACTATTTATCTCCGGGTTTCCACGATTCTCCAATTCTTCATTTCCATGATTCTCTGTTTCCATGTTTCCACCATTCATCTCCATGTTTCCACGATTCTCTATTTCCATGTTTCCACGATTCTCCCCTTCCTGGGCACCCCCTTGGGTTTCCCCTTCCTGGTTTCCACCATTTATCTCCGGGTTTCCACGATTCTCCCCTTCTTGGTTTCCCCCTGGTTTCCCCGTTTCCCCGTCGTTCGCGGCATTCTCGACCCCATTCCCGCGGTTCCCCTGCACGCGCATGGCGGCGTCCCGGGCGCGCTGAATACCCGCTCCGCTGACGAAGAGTTCCGCGGGGATCCTTCCAAGATAGCGGATAAAGGGATCGTTCTCGACGGACTGGCCCTCGGCGCGGATGAATTCCTGCAGACGCGTGACGTTGATGTAAACCTGGCGGCCGGAGCGCGCGCCGTGCTTCGTGGTGATGAGCATGTCGTCCTTCTCCACCTGCATCTTCCGCAGCGCCGACCGCGTGATGGACCGCGACGAACTCGACCGGCTGTCCGACTCGCTCGCCCCCAGTTCCCCCGATTCCACGTCGCTTTCCTCCACGAACTCCTCGCTCTCGCTCTCCGTTCCCGCGGGAATCGCGCGAGGACGCGCCTTGGTCGTCCCCGCGGGACGTTTCTTGGGCGGAGAATCGCGGGGAATGACTATAAATCGCGGGAATGGAAAAAGAAAAGGACAGGAAGTGAGCTCTGCATTTACCGCGGTTATCACAGGAGCCACGACGGCCATTCCCGCCTTCTGTAACGCCCATTTTTGGAGGTACCACGCGTCCAGGAAAACCGCTACATGCCAGTCCCGCGGGGATCCTACATGCTCCGTTTCCCGCGATTCTGTAGCGATGGTCGAGTTTCCCGCGGATTTTCTGGATGTCGTCGCGCAGATTCTGCTCGGCGTTTCGCAGGTCGTTGAGTTCCGCGGTTAACAAGGCGGTGAGGCGGAGGGAATCTTCTTTGGCGGCACGAAGCAACTGGAGTTTCTGATAGACGACGTAAATCGGAGAAACGTAGAAAGAGGGAACCCAGATGAGGGAAACGGGGTCCTGGATGAAATTGGCGGGAATGTGGTCCGGGCAGAGCAGTTCCAGCTACGCCTGAAAAGTGGAAACGGAGGTCCACATTATCGAGGAACTTGTAGTAAAACGAGGTTTGGCGGGAGAGACACCCCAGATGCACGTACTACATCGCACGTTTCCCCGGTTTCTACGTTTCCACAGTTGGTGATGCTGCACTTGACGAACTGCCCGGACGTTTCGCCGCACTCATAGCAGCGAATCGGCTTCCTCCCCGCGGCACCCGGCCTACTCCTCACTCCCCCGCGGGGCTCCGACAAGGCGTTGGACTGCAGCCCCATGCAGTCGACGGCGGGGAGCACGAACTGCACGAGCGTGCGTTCCTCGGCGCTGGGCGCGCGGAAAATCGGGCTGATTTCGGTCATCATCTGGGAGTGCAGCGTGGAGTACACCGACCCGCGTAGCAAAAGCCCGCATTTCTTGTGCACCAAAACCCCGTCCACGGTCAGCACGAAGTAGCCCGCGCGCCCGCCGCAGACGAAGCAGCACGCGTGCGGCGAGGGCACGTGACTCGCGGGAACCGCGCGAAGAAACGCCGCGACTTGCCGCTCGAGGCCGAAGGAGCCGAGGAGACACATGGAACACACGAAGTCTGGGGATGAAACGCCCGAAGAAAGTACATTTCACGTGGTCGAATTGCGCCAGGACCTGGATCCGCGGTAAATCCGCGCAAACTTCGTGCACCACGGTCCCGCACACCACGCAGTGCAGCATGTTCCCGCGGGTTCCCGGCTGCAGGTACACGCCCGAACCGCAGTCCACGCGCTGTCCCGCGGTTTCGAGCCGCTCGGTGATGTGATCCACGATTCCACGTTTGGGGTCGTCGGTGCTGCGCGGTTTGGCGGGATGTCGATTGGCGGGAATGGAGGAAGCGGATGGAGAATAATAAGAAGAAGAATGAGATGATGGAGGGAATGATGTCGATGCTGTGTTCATTGCATTGCTTCCCTTGCTTCCCTTCATTCCATGCGCTGCACGCGCCGCACTCCCCGGATTGGGCGTTTCGTCGCGTCGGATGTTCACGCAGCGGCCCAGCCGGCTTCCCTCCAAAACCATTTCCTGGTTAATCGGCGGCGCCGAATACCCGAACCCGCACACATCGCAGATTTCCCGCGGAACACCCAACCGACCGCTCCCCGCGGAACTCCCCGAAGCATTTCCAAAAGAATTTCCAAAAGAACTTCCAAAAGAATTTCCCGCGAAATTTCCCGCGAAATTTCCCGCGGAATTCGATTTGGAATTCGATTTGGAATTCGATTTCGAAGGTCCGTCGAGGCGCTGCAGCACTTCGCGGAGCGTGTTCGGATTCCCGCGGGAGAAGCACTGCATGGAGGAGCGCAGCGCGACCTCGGCGAGGAGGGAGTTTCGTCGCGCGGGCGGCATGTGCTTGAAGCAGAGCGCGAACAAACAGGGATGTTTGCCCCCGCCGATGTAAATCTCCGCGTCGCGCAGCTCGCAGTACCCGCCGTTTCGCCAGTGGCACATGAAATGAAACGACTCGCAGCAATCCGCCGCGCCGCACCGAAGCGTGATCCCGCGGGGAACGTGGCAGTAGCAGCACAGACCGCCCGGCATCGCCAGATCTCCAGGTTACCCCGTTTCCACGGTGGTACCGCGGGACTCGTTGTACTCGACGGGCTCTCCCGCGGTTTCCGAGCAGAATCCGCAGTGCGCGCCGTAATTGCGCAGATTCGCGGGGATGCGCGGCTCGATGACGGAGTAACACTGTTTCTGGCGGGAACACTCGACGTTGCGGAAGAGGGACACGAGCTGGCCCTCGCGGGAATTCTCCAGATAGTAGGGATGCACCTTGTTAAATGTGTTCCGCACCGAATACGTGCTGTTCCCCGCGGCATTCGCGAGCGTTTCGGGCATCGGGAAGAGCGGCGACGTCAGCGACGCCTTCGAGTCTAGATGAAACGCCCCGAGGAAACGCACGGAAGAGACTGAAGAGCGGGAACATGTTCGCATAATCGCGGAGATAGCTGTCGTCCACGCCGCGCCGCACGCTCAGCGGGTTCAGCATGCGCAGCCCGTTGTACTGCGGCCGCAGCCCCGGCGGCGCGGGCGTCATCCGCGCGAAGTCCGCGATTTCCCCGCCCGGCGAAAATAGTGCGCACGAAATATGCGCGAAAACGGGACTCGCGACGTTCGTGCGCGCCAAATACCCGTCCAGCACCGTGCAGTAGCAGCACTTCAAGAACCGCGGGTCTCCGTCTAGATGAAACGCCCGTCTCGATCGAACTCTGCGCGAGGAAACGGCACACATCGCACTGGAACACAGTCTGCGGCGTCGGATTGGCCAGTCCCACGCAGCGCCGATGCACGGGGATTCCGCACGTGACGCAGCACACCAACTCCCCGGGCGTTTCGGGCCCGAAGCACACGCTGCAGCGGCGCCACACCGGCCAGCGGCCCGCCTCCGCGAAGGCGAAAAGCGCGGGAAAAAGAGACGGATGCGGCGGGAGCTCCGCGCGCAGCCGGCGAAGAATCTCCCGCCAGTTCTGACGCAGGTTGAAGTACGCGAGCAGCTGGTCGCCGAACTTCGCCTACATGAAACGGAGAAACCGGGGAAACCGCGTTGAAACGCTCGATCTGCTGGAGGTTCTGCAGACAGCGGCTGATCTGCTCCCAGTTCTGCTCGTGCAGCTGCTTGTACGACCGCTACGCGTCACGCCCCGCGGGGATCCCCACGATCAGATTCCGGATCTCGAAGCTGACCGGATCGCTGGCGCCGAGAGACATGAGATGATCCGTGCGCAGCACGCGCACCGAAATCACCGCCACTCCCGCGAAAATCGAGTCCTCCAATGGGTAGTACGACGTCGAAAACCGCGAATGCGACGCGCCGCCCCCGCCGCTCCCGCCATGGCTTCCCGCCAACCCCGCCCCGCTCTGATTGAACTGGATCCGCGACTTCGTCGCGCCTGCTCCTCAGGTTCCACGTTTCCCCTACAGTTCGCCGTTTCGTTCGCCAGCGGCGTCCACCACACCCCGATTTCCCGAGATCCCCGCGGGTCCTGCGGGTCCTGCCCATCTCCTTCCCCCGCGGAACCCATGGAAACCGAGGAAACCGAGGAAACCGAGGAACCCGCGGGACTGGCCGAGTCCTCGAGGGGTTTCACGCAGAGTAGCAGTTCCGCGGTGTAGAATCCCTGGAGCAGGACGCGTACGAGTTTGGTCCCCGCGGTTTCGCTGCATCGATGCAATAACCGCTCGTCGCACCAGTTCCACAGCACGTTCCGCTCCTCCGCGTAGTCCGCGGGCCGCCTCGCCGGCAGCACGCACGGCGCCACTTCCTGGAACGCGGCCTCCTCCGCGCTGCGCTGAAACCCGGGCCAGAACGCCGCGCCCGAATCGAACGACAGCATCGCTTCCACGTCCCGCACGAATTCACGCACCGACAGCGCGGGACGACGCGCGCTCCGCTTCGACGGCGCCATCGCTTCCTCTCCCGCGGGTAGGGAGCTACCCCATCCCGACGGGGAAACCGGGGAAACCGCGGCGCGGCGGCGAGAACGGCGCTCGGAAGTGCGGGGAAGGAAGGGCTTCTGGTGGCTGCGCGTCTCCATGTGCGAAACGGAGAGCGATCCCCGCGGGTCGGAGGGAGGCGGCGGGACGGCGGCGGCGAGGACGATCTCGCAGGCGAGTTTGGCGAGGAGGGAGATCTGGGGGAAGGCGGGATAGAGGAGATAAAGGTCGGAAACGAAGAATTGGGAGTGCGCGCGGCAGACGACGCGCACTTTGCCGCCCGGAACGCGGCGGTCGCAGAGGAAAAACCAGGCGGAGGAGTCGGTGCGGGCGAGGCAGATCGAGTGGGCGCAGAAGGAGCATTTGTCGTGGCTGGAGACGGAGAGGGAAGCACATGATGCGTACCAGCAGTGGATCGCGCGGCCGAGGATGGGATGGCCGCAGATGGAGCAGTGGAAGATTGTGGTCGACGCGGGGGGACGGATGGGAGGGCTCACGACCACCGAGGCCGATGGAACGATATTCGCGATCTTGGAGGACGCGATGAGCTGGTTTCGCTCCGATTGCTTTGATGGAATCGAAAAACGCTTGATTGGCAGGGAATCCAGAAGGGAATTCAGAACGTCCGAATTGTTCAGAAAGCGAGTTCGCATGATGAGCTCCGCACATAAAACATGGCACCACTCATTCCCGTTGCATTGCAAACACAGATCCATCGTGGTCTAGCCATCAACTCCGCCAACACATTCCCCACCATCTTACAAATGCAACACATAGGGTATTGGACATTTTGAGAACAGGTATGACACTTCCAGACCGGTTTGGCCTCGGATACCCCGTAACAGTACTGGTGAACATAGACGCCGCACACTGAACACCATAAAAGCCGATCAAACTTGGTATCACCGTTTTTACAAATATGGCTAGTTCACATCATCTCCTCTATATCTACCAGCAAGGTGTACCATTTGGAGGGGCATTTACTTGACTCATATCTTTTGTTTGTATTTCGGGCTCTGATAGAAAAGTAGACGTAGTCAACAGTCAGATTCTTGGGAAATCTCAGCTTAACAACGATACCTTGCTTTCAAAAACCAACTGTGGTTATCTGGACTTTTACGGTTGTTGATGAAAGCTAAACGATACTGCTCGCACAAAAGAGGATCCTAAATCCCAAGAAGGTCCTCTATTAGCTTAATTAATAACAAGGTAACAGAATCCGCGGAAACTTCGATAAAACCGCGGAATGCGAATCTTCTGTTTCAAAACAAAAATACAAAAACTCTGGATTTGTAATTACTCCCTTCTGTAAAATAATGTTCGCGTACTGCGATGTCTCTCTACGCCTCACAATCCACAACCGGGACAACCCTGTAGCAATCACCGCGTAGCACTTCTTGGCCTGCTCATAAAACGCAAAGCGCTCAATACCTTCCAGTTTTACCTGCATCTTACGCTCCTCTCTTTCTCAAATTACCTCTTTCCCTTCCGCTTCAGCCAGGATCTTCTTGTACTCCTCAATAATGGGGAGCTCCATGTCCTTGTCACACTCCATCTTCTCCATCACCTTCGCCTAGACCTCAATCCACTGAAAGCAGAAGAAACGGGACACTCCACATATTGATCCAGAGGAAGCAGCTTGCAGATGCCACGAAGAATGCGAGGAATCGGATGACCTATTCTAAGCACAAAAAATCTAGAATCAAACCATCCAAGCGAATCAAGCCGCCAGGGCAATGCGAAGCAATCGAAGCCGCGGGAAAATTCGCGTCCGCAATTACTAATTCTCAGACACAAAGATCTGCCCCTACCAATCTGATCTCCGTGACCCATCTCAGCAAGAACCTTCAAAAGCTCAGGAGTGATCACACTGGAAATTCCCTTTAGAACTGGCATGAATACGAATTCAAACAAACAAATCAATGAATAGAAAATACTGTATCCAATTTTACGCTTTCCCTTTTCCTCTTCCTTATTGCACTTTGGGCATATTCTCTACTTTCAACATTGCAATTTTTTGCTGCAGCTTGATCATCTACACCTTATCATCACGCAACTTCGTCCTACATCGTCAGTAGCCTTGTCCTTCTCTTCCTTTTCCTTCTTTGCCTTCTCTGCTAAATCCTCTCTTTCCGTAAATGCAAAAATTCAATTGTTACGATTGTCTCTGAATCAACTTGATACGGTTGTCTACATTGCTCTTCGCCTCTTCCACATCCACACGGACCAATACAGGTCCGACCAATTTGTATACTTTTTGACCTTCTTTAAGCGATTCTAGTTCCTTTTCCTAAAGCCAAACAGAATACACTTACCTTTTTGACAGTCGTATTCTCACTCAGGGCAATTTGGTTTTGCTGAACCTGCGTGTTGAGCTCGGCCAGGGCTGTGAATCACAACAACCATACAGCAAATTACCGTTTTCACTCTTTTGATATCTTTCATTGATCTCGTTTGCTTCTTTCTGCAGTTGTTCGATTGTAGCCATTCCTCTTCAACAAAACAATGCACATAATCTCATTGAATTGTTTGTCTAAATGCAATCCTTTTCTATTTCATCTTTTGTTGATGAAATAGAAACCGTTGTAAAGGACTTGGACAAAGTGTTCGAAGGGTTTGAACCGAAATCGGAATTGTCGTATTATTTTAGTTATACATGTCTTTTTTAGAGTCCAATCGATGAGTATTTCGAACAATTGTTTCATTGATTCTGTGGTGCATAAGATTACGTCGAATCATTTGCAAGAGGAGAAGAAGGATACAAAATTTGAGGCAAATGACTCGGTTTATAAAGAACTTGGTCTTTCAGAAGATCAAAGAGTTGTGATGCGATCCATTGAAATGCATTCCCCAGCTCTTTTAAATGATATAATATCGCAGTATAAGTATGACGACAAGGCTTCTTTCTATTCTTAGAGAATATAAATCATTATTTGGTGACGAAGTTGCCCTTTCCATACCCGAAATAAAGGTCCCTGTGGAATATTATCGAAAAGGAAGCCCGTCTCAAGTGATTGCTTCCGATTCCTTTACATACATTATTCAAATCAAATTTTCAAACCGTTTATTATATGTTCCTATCGATTTCACTGTGTCGCAACTCGTGAAAACGATGCTTGTTCAATTGGGCTATTCAGAAGATTCTGAGTATTTTGTGTATTTTGATGGAATTTGTTTTGTTGCATCGGATACTTCGGACGAAGTAATTCCGACGGAAGCGAAAGAAGCATCGCTGGTCAATAGTTTAGAAAACTGGTTTCATCAATTGTTTGGTTTTTGTTTGTTTGGTTTGAGCGTAGTCCGGTTTACATCGAGGGAAGCGTTCAATGTCGAAATGCGAATATTGTGAAATTACGTTCCATATCCAATTCACACAATTGAAATACTATCTATTGCAATTGTTGTTAGTACAATATATATATATATATATTTGATAATATGTCTTTCCTTCATTCACTTGACAATTTCGTTCGATCATGATTATCTTCTCGTCGAAGTTCATAGCGGAACTTCGTACGCAGAGATTCGATTTCAAATCGTAAATTTGTTTCGCTACTTTTTCAAAACGGATGAGCAGGAAAACGATCTTCGCTTTGTGCATCAAGGTGGATTGGCGTCGAGCGATTTCCCCCTTGTGATTATGACAGTTGGAATTTGGGAAAGAAGAAGGTTTACGACTAGAAGCAAATGCAAATGCGAACTTGCATGGCATGTGGAAACAGCACCGCGCAGTTCAACGTCACTTCGGACGTTCTTTCTCCCTCCTCGCCTTATTTGTATTGTTCGCAATGTCTGAACCGCTTCCATTACGACGCTTCGGGCCGTCTTCTGACTAAACCGTTTGGAATGACCCCTCTATGCATTGTTTGTTCAAAGAAATGCGAGATTCAAAGAAGGAGTGTGTGTGACTTTTTGAATGAATGAATCAAACGATGAATGAATGAATGAATTACAGAATGAATTACAGAATAAATGCATCAAAGAATGAATCAATGAACTTCCCATTAAATTTCCACTTCATGATTCACACAAACATCCCAAATAAAAGACACTAACTTGCAGACTCGCTACCTTGGTTTCCCTGGTTTCCCTGGTTTCCCTGGTTTCCACTATTCCCCGGCTGCTGCACGGGTACCAAATACACCATTCCAAATCCATTGATCATCGGAACAAACCCCTGGTTTCCTTGGTTTCCCTGGTTTCCCTGGTTTCCCTGAATTCCAGAATTCCCCAGATTCACCGAATTCCCCGGATTCCCCGGGCTGCCATGGACCGCCTCCATCCCCGCGGGACCCATAAACGGGGATCCCACCAGCGGCGTCCCCATCGGCATCACCACCTGGTTCCCCGCGGGACTCGCTATGAAGGCGTTTCCCTGACTTTCCGCGGGAGCGCCCGGCACCGGTGGGAAAAGGGGAAACAGGGGAACCCCGCAGGGCATCAGCATCTGCTGCGAGGGATTCACCGCACCCACCGGAACCGCGGGAACCGTAGGAACCGTGGAAACCGTGGAAACCGCGGGGATGGCAGGAACCGTAGGAACCGCGGGAATGCGATCCTCGCTGGAGTGGCTGCGGATCGACGAAACGCCCTGCGAACACGGCGACGATTCCCGCGGGAGCGATGTTTCTCCCGTTCTTGCACTTCCCCGCGGGGATCCTGGCCTTCGTTCGCCCGCGGAGGGTCGCTGGAGGGGTTCCGGGCTCCCCGCGGGGAAGTGTGTGGCGGTTTGGAGGGAAAGTTGTCGGCGATGTTTGACCTCCGCGGCGCTGTGGAGCGCCAAAACCGTGTTCTGCGGCCCCATGACGAACTCGGCCTCCGGCTCGCAGGCGGAGGCGTCGGATGAAACGCCCGGCATGAAGGGGAAGACGGGCTGGTCGACGGGGAGCGCGAAGGCGGGGCGCGCGGCGGCGCGGAGGAGGGGAAGGAGGTCGCGGACGATCCAGCAGGAAAGATACCACGTGTAGGAGAAGCGGCGCTTGACGCGGATGGCGAAGCGGTAGCGGAAGTGGGAGAGAGAGCAGTCCGCGTCGCGCTCTAGCGGTGAGAAAAAGGGAAAAGGAGAAACTCAGAGAAGCCAGCGAAGGAGACGACGTCGATCGCGAGAGCGAAGAAGAAGAAAAAGAAGAAGAAGGGGAATCGAGGTGGACGGAGAAGGTGTGCGAGTAGACGGAGTCTCCCCGCGGGGAGAGCTTCCAGCCGAGGATGCTGCGGTTCCCCACCATGACCTTCTCGGCGTTATTCGCGGGGATTTGGGGGGGAGTGGAGCGCATGAGGAGGTAGAAAGAATCGATCGGCGTCGTGCTCACGTGCGTCATCGCGATCTCCATCTGCACGTCACATCGGAGAAACGGAGAAACCGTGTAGTGGTCGAAGAGAGGCTCCCGCGGGGAGGCGGGGGAATCGCTGCCGGGAACGGGCTCGAAAAGCACCATGGGACTGGGCGACGTCTGCGGAGCCGGCAGCGCGGGCGAAGCGTCGCCGCGCCACGCCGCGCTCGCGTCCGATCGAGAGCTCTGCGCACGCGCAGCGGGCAGGAGAGGCGGCGGGGAGGAGGGCTGGCGGGGCGAGCGCGCGGAGGCCTCGATGAGCTTCGCGATGGAGCCCTCCGAAGAGAGCTTGCGGGGCGGCCTGGCGGAGAATTTCTCGGGCGAGCGCGGCGGGCATTTCCCGGCAGAGAGCTTGGCCGGGAATTTCTCGGGCGACCGCGAGGGAGATTGGGCCGGAAACCGCTCGGGCGAGCGCGGCGGGCATTTCCCGGCAGGGCCCTTAGCCGGGAATTTCTCGAGGGGCTTCGCGGAGGCCTTGGCCAGACCCGGTTTCTCCGCGGATCTCCGCGTGGAGTTCTCGAGGCGTCGCTCGACGGCGTCGCGGAGCGAAGACGAAGACGAAGACGAAGACGAAGACGAGGGCGCGGGGTTCGAAGCGGGGGTTTCGTTCACAGGTGCAGACACTTTCACAGACAAATTCACAGGATCGAGCGCAAGCGCGTTCTCGGTCTCGGTCTCGGTCTCGGTCTCGTTTGCATTCAAATTCAAATTCAAATTCAAATTCAAATTCAAATTCGTAGTCTCAGCGGGAGTTTCACTCAATGGATGCTCGGGAGTTTCACTCAATGACTCGAGGGGCTGCGACTCCGTCGCCAGCTTTCCCTTTTTCTCTGTAGATGGCTCACTAGATGGCTCACTGACCAGCTCACGAGAGGGTTTCTCCAGTTTCTCCGATTTCTCCGATTTCTCCGATTTCTCCGATTTCGATTCACCAACTTCTTCCAGGGGCGTTTCACTCCGATTTTCCCGCCGATCTTCGTCCGTTCCCTCCTTCTCTGGCATTCCCGCGGTTTTCCCCTCCGTTTCCACGCTCGTCTCGACCGCTTCCCTCGCTTCCCCGTTTCTCTCCACACGCGTCTCTCCCGCGGAACTCTCCCTCCTCGTCTCGCGGGACTCTCCCTTCCCCTCGGTCGTTTCATCGTCCCCTTCCCCGGTTTCCACTTTTGCTCCGTCCTCCGCTCGATCTCGTCGCTTCTTCCGTCGCTTTCTCCCCTCCTCCTTCTTCCCCTTCCCTGTTTCCCTGGTTTCTCTAGTTTCCCTGGTTTCCCTAGTTTCCCTAGTTTCTCGGATCGGAATCGCTCGCTCGCGTCGTCGCTGCGCGAAAAGCCAGACGATCCCCGCGACCATCGCCAGAATGCTACGCCCGATCGCCCCGCCCGGCCAGGCCTACACGGAGCTGCCCGCGAGCTCGACGGCGCGAAGATGGCGCGCGAGGGTCTCGACGAGCGCGTCGAGGAGAGAGCGGTCGGCGTTCTCGATGCGTAGCGCCTCCAATTGCGCGGGAGAGTGCGTCAGCGTGGCCGACAGCAGTGCGCTCAGCACGTCCAGTCGGTACAGCACGTCGCGCTGCAGCGGAAACGCCGCTCCGGGGAGAAAGGCCCGCAGCGAGGCCTGCGTGGCCTCCAGACACGCCGTGTTCCTGACGCTCAGCTTCTCCGAGAAACGCCCACTCCTTGCAGGACTGCGTGATATTCGCGGTGAACTGGCAGAGCCGGCAGAAGAAGCTCTGGCCCTCGCAGTGGGCCGCCTGGTCCGCGATCTGGGCGCCGATCCCCGCGGGGTTGGAGAGATAGAGGGAGGAAAGGTGGAGCAGACGGTCGATTTGGTCGTTGATGTAGAGAATGTCGAGCCCATGCAGACGGGAACTACGGGAGAAACGGGGAAACGGGGGTACTAGTGGTGATTGGCGTATTCCCAGGATTCGCTGCCGAAAAACGGAAGTTCGAATAGAAAACTCTTGACGCGAAGCGCTTCGTCTAGTTCGCCCAGAGAAGTGAACAGAGAAGCGAGTTCGTAGCGACAAGCAACGACCGTGTTAATCTAGCGAGGGTTAAGAAAGGAAAACGGAAAGGTACGTTCACCTGGGGAATCGATTCTAATATCGAACAGGCTCGATCCAGATTCTTGGTCGCCTCGGTGGTGTTTCCCAAATGGGCGTTGATCACAGAGCGGAGATGATACCAAGAAGACCATCGAATGCTCGAATAGGTCGACTGGGAGTAAGAGTTTAAATACGTACGTACAGCTTTCGAAGTGCTTGATATTTGCATATACATAAACACAGAATCCAACACATCCTTTGCAGCACTATACTGCCGCTTCTCGACAAAGTCTGAAGCTAGCAAGGTTTTCTACAAATCGTTTTACACAATAAATGCCTCACATTTGTTAAAACAGCCTCAATGTCTATAATAGGCGTATCAACACATACTACCAACACACACCTTCCAGTTAAAAATGAGAGTTACGCTTACAACGTCGTTATAAAAAAGGAATACAGTAGGAAAGTTATATTTTTCATTTTAAACCCGGATTACCAAGCGACACTACTAATATCTACATGGTCAGGATTTGTGGAAAAACAAACAATAAACAAACGATAAAGTAGGCTTATATAGAAAAAAATCGCCTGAATGAAGAAATGAAATGTCAGAAGGGAGTTTCATCAGATCCTTCTTTGTGCTTACCTTTTTCTATCGTCTTTTTTACTGAATCAACTCCGATTGGAAGGGTCGAACAAACAAAAATGGAAAATTATAAATGATTTAGTATCTAGTCTGCTTTCTTCTCTATGCCTTGCAAGCACAAGACAAACATTACTCATCAAATCGGCACTCAGCGCCACTATCATTTTAGCACGAGTTTCCATTTCCTTTTCGAGCGACTGATACGAAACCTTATGCGAGAAGCTGAAAAACGAGAGCACCTAAAATTCACGTGTGTCAGAACGCAGAACGAAAAGAACTCCGAACACCGTGCCTGCTGTCAGCAGCACAGAGATCGTAAAAAACTACGTTCGCAATCCCACACCACACACACGTTTCCCGTCATCATCGAGCAGCTGAAGCCACTGAAGTCCTTCAGCATTGCGTTCGTCAGCGTACACGACCCATTCCCACAATCCTTCACCATCCCGTTCTCCAGCTCCTTCTCCACGCTCTCCACGCACAACCCCATCGCTCTGCTATACGAGCTCTTCCCCTGACCCCGGTTTCCCGCCCCTACCCGTACCACCTTTAATGCATCATCCAGCTCCCTCAGCGCGGCCTGCAGCTGCGCCACCGTCTCCCGCAGCCGCTCCCTCCACTCCCGAATCTCCTTCTCGGCGGTCCACAGCGCGCAAGCCCTCACCCAGTCGTCGCGAATGCGCTGATTGACCGCTTCCAACGCGGGGTCCGACACGATGCGCATCACGCAGCCCAGCCCTTCTCCGTTCTCGCACGGGTCGCACACGCTCTCTCTCTGCATCTCTCCCAGCTCTACGTCGAATTTCACCGCTGCTCCCACGCGTTTCCGCGTACGCCGATCGCGCCACTTCCGCCTGGCACTCGTAGAACGACAGCACGCGTTTCATCTCCGCCTTCTCCAGCAGCGCCGCGCTCGTCTTCTCCAGTCGCTACCCTTGAAACTCCCGCGCCGAATCCACGTCCTCCAGCGTCGTCGCCAGCTCGCTGATCGCCTGGGAGAGTTCCGTCGTTTGCGCGGGGAGAGACCATTCCCCGCGGTTATGCGCGTCGAGTTGGCGGTAGAGATCCACGGCACGAAGCGTGGAAACGTCGTGAACGAAGTAACGCCACACTGCGATTGATGGAATTCCAGAAATCGGGACGATAATAGCCGGGAAGGGTGGAGGGAAGTTTCGGCGTGGTGGAAATCGTGGAAAAAACCGCGCAGTCTGCGTGGAATTCGATCGAAGGGCCTACTCGCGATGGAAACCGCGGTGAAAGGGACGATAACCGCGAGGAGAAGGCTGTACAGGCAGCTGCCTAGAACCGCGGGGAACGTGCCCCAGGTGACGAAGACGCGGAGTTTGGCGGGAGCGTGGAAGTAGCGGATTCCCGCGTAAAAGCAGGCGAGGAAGCCGAGGAGAAGCAAAAGAAGCGGCAAAACGGAGACGAAGAGATCGATGGGCATTTCAAGATGCAGGAAAAAGAGGGAATTGGGGTAGGGCTGCGCGTATCTGCGGTAAAAACGACGAAAAACCGCGACGATGCGATGGTCAAGTGGAGTTTCGAGAAGGAAACGAGGAGGTTCCGCAGCTCTTTTTGGTTCTGTCTGCCGTCAATTCCTTCAAAAGGGGAAACTGGAGGTGCGAAACCGCCGCGTTCTGCTGTTCGAACGACGTCTGCGCGAGCTCCAGAAACAGCGTCGACTGCGTTTCAGAGGGCGTTTCATCGGTACGGCGTGGCGGTAAGGGGCGAACAGGCGAGAAAACCGCGAATATTGCGTTGAAAAGAGCGAGGCGTCGGCGGCGCACGTGCCGCAGGGAATTGTGTCATTCTGAAACTCTCTGCGATTTACGCGGGGATTTTGGGTATTGGGTACATGGCGGGAAAATGGCTTCGTGAATAATCCGCGAGAAACGGAGTCCACAGCGTGTCTATCTACCTCGGAATACTATTCCGGTGCTACGGAGGTCGCGATTCGGGTGATGCTTTTTGCGAGAAGCAGAACGTTCGCGTCTCTGTGTGTTATAATAGTTCCCGCGGGGATGTCACTCGAGACACTGGCGACTGGAGACGACGGATGCATTGAGAGTGAGATGGGCGGAGAGGAGATTGGTGTTGGCAGCAAGTATCCTATTGAAGGACTGTAAATAAAAGTCGCTTTTGGAGCTGAACGCATACGTCATGCCGTGCATTAAGAAGAAACATGGCACATGGGTGATGGAACTAGGTGGATATGCTTAAGAGTCCGTTTGCGTAGTAGAAAATAATGAGAAACAATAACCCAGAGATTATACCCACGGTGAACATGACGACTTTATCGACCATGTTATAACCGGCTATCATTTTGTGCCGACGAAGGCGACGATGTATCTAGCGAATAACGATAGGATTGGGCACGCTATACATAGTGAAAATGGATTAAATATGTTCTCCCAAGAAGAACTAACAGAAAAATAAACAAAAATATTCCAGGCAGAATATAGAAGCTTAGCGAACGGAATATACAACCCATCTAAGTCAAAACACAAACAAATCACGACTGCTCCGTGTTCATGAAAAATACACTCAAAACAAGAATTGGACTTATCCGTCAGTAAGTCTGCCCTATCTGAACCACCCAAAACCTAAATAGTACAATTAGTGCCTTTTTCATACTCGGACAAACTGATCGACATTGATGATAGAGCCAACTTTATTTGCAATCCTTTCCCAGTAGAATTGCTCTTTTCCGCTCATTCTACGAATTATTCGCCTTTTCGGGCAATATACTAAATTCCCGTATCAAGCTGATCCTATTAACTCCTTTATAGATTTGGGAAAATGATAAACTTCAAACTTCACGTTTATATATTATTATTATTATTGATTACTATATTAATTCGAATTATTAGTATATTATTACTATAGTAATTATAATAAATATGAAAAGTACTAGGATTACACTTTCCTTTTCTTCACTATTTTTTATTTGTTTTCGTTTATGGACGCGTGGAAAAATCCGACATCTGCAATATCTCTCAAGTGCTTTCCCCCTCTATACTCGTAAGATAGCGTTTTCTGACTGATTGGAAGGGAGCAAGCTCCAGAGAACCAGGAGATGCAATTCCGCGTTTGGTCGGATCTTGTCATCGCTTGGGCGAAACTCCATAAGGTATGGTCTATTTCTCTTCAGGAATGTGCTATTTTTGAATGTAAAGAAATTAACAGTAAGACCAAGACAAGTTTATCATGTAGGGGAAGCGCCCTTGTCCCTACGCGTGGCGATTATCACATATATGGTATCCAAGGGTATTTCTGATGGGTGGCATTGAGAAAAGGATGGGCCTTTTGGATCGGATCATCACAGCATTCACAAGCATACATTCTTCACAAACAACTCACCGAGCTAGGTAACTTGATTTATGACACAGTATTTTGAATTTAATCAATGTAACAATCAAAGCTTGACAGTATGGGAACCACAACGCCCGTCCAAGCCCATGAACTTGTATCGGATATAGAATACAGTAGTACAGGTATCTTCTTCCGTTCACCCAGGGTACTGACACATAGAATTCTATGGAATGCCAGAAGACTTGATGGAGATGATTTTGCAGGACATTGTGAAGAATGGCAAGGTAGATGGATGAGAGAAGGAAGGGATGATGTGTGTAGATGGTGACGTTTAAGGTGGATCAGGATAATAACTATAAAATAGTGCGAACAAATTAATATAACAAAGATTCAATTCAATTCAATTCAATTCAATTCAATTCAATTCAATTCAATTCAATTCAATTCAATTATTTGTTTGTTTGTTTGTTGTGCAACAAAGATAACACATATAAAGTGCATGAAACATTTCCAAAGGCACAGAAATTTTAATATGGAACAGAATACTTTCTTGAGGTACCCACGTAATGGTCGAGTGAAAGTGGGGTTAAAACAGCGGATGCAATAAAGCAATGATCAGATGAAACGTTTTCGCAGGCGATCCACTTAGCTTGTGGTATTACACTAGCGATCTGCATCTGGAATTCAAGGTCTTTTTCAGACAACGAAGTGAAACCATTAGACGGAACAGAATCCGATGCTGGCATTTTTTGTGGCTGCTGAATATCTGGTGGTACAGGGTTACTTTTTTCTCGTTTAGAAAGAGGTACATTAGATAGAGTTGCTAAAGTCAAGATATTCAGATAATAACTACAGTAATACTTCAGTCTCTTCTTATAGCGGCACGGGAGGCAAGTTTTATAATAATAGTTCGAGGTATCACTTTTAAAGAGATGGGAAGGTAATACCAGTTTACAGGAACTACATTTCCTCACCCGGCTGTCATCTTCCATTTTGGAATCAAAATCTTTTGAACGATAAGAAATGTAATAAAAGTCATCTCAAAGGAGTTACGGAATAGCTTTTTCGTTCAGCCAATCACGTTCGAGCTTCGGATACTTGCATAACATTAGCAAACACGCGCGTGTCCTACGCAGGAGAAAATCGTTTTCCCGCAAAACGAATGCGTTTTCGAACAAACAATTTTATACGCCTACATTTGGTGCCATCTGTTCTGCCTGGTACTTGTGAGTCTGCATATGCCGGTTTAATTCGGACGCGGACACGTAGCTCTACCTCTCAGCGCTCGCTACAGACTCTACTTTATCGCAATGCGGATAGGTACAGACATGCGGCTTTGTGTCCGAGTGAACGCGCAGCTTGTGCACTCGCAGGTCCGTCTGTCGCACGAACGCGCGGTCGCAGCCGTGCACGTCGCATTTGAACCGTTTGTCGTTCTGTGGTGATTTTTAATTTCCGCTCCTACCTGGTGCTGACTCTTCACGTGTAGCATCAGTCCGCCGCGCGTGGAGTACTTCTTGTTGCACCCCACGAAGGAACAACAATACGTCTGGAATCGAAGGATAACCGCGGAACTACCTGTCTGTTTCGATTGTGCGTCTGCATGTGCTGCTTGAGGTGCTGGTTGTCGTAGAAGGCCTTCTTGCATCCGACGACGGTGCATTTATACTCGCGCTGCCGCGATTTGTCGTGTGTGCGTAAATGAACATTAAGATTGCTTTTCCAGTTGAATTGTTTTTTGCAATGCGGGCACTGGAACTTGTGCGCACTACGCGTCATCCCTGCGCGGTTCCAGCCACCTCGGCGAGCAAGAGTAAATGTCGGCCGCCGATGTGTCGATCGCGTCCACGCTGCTCTCGTTCTTCGCGTACAGAAGCTACATCGAACGCCCCTCCGGCCCCAACGGACTCGTTCTCCGTGGACAGCACCTGGATGGTCTCCTGCACCAGGTCGATGGTTCCTTTCAGATCGTGTCGGTTCATTTCCAGCAGAAATCGCGCCAGCTGCGCCGTGTCCCGCTCCCCGCAGATCGTCTGCAGCGACCGCAGTCCCCGCGCGCCCGCCAGCCCGAAGGCCCCGCTGGACTCCAGCGCCTTCTCCACGTAGCGGCGCGCGCGGTTGTAGCTCTGCTCGTCGGTCTTCTTGCGCTCCCGGTCCACCTTCGCCTGCGGTCGAGTCGGCGCCCCCAGCCCGTACTTCCTCGATGAACGGGACCTTCTCCGACTCCGGAAGCCTGCGCCACATGTCGGCGATCTCGCGGAAGATCTCGCATTGCTTGCGGTTCGCGCCGAGACGCTCGCGGACGCTGTTGAATCTGAATGGAGTGAGTGAAAGAGGGGAGAAGGTACACTTTGCGGCTGTAGCACGCGTAGGCGCTCAGAGTTCGCTTGGGGGGTTTGAGATTTATGTTTTGCTTGGTGGAAACAGAGGAGTACTCCGTCCCGACCTGCTGGTAGTCCATGTTCTCCGAAATTTGATCCATATTCTATTCTAATCATCACCATCGCAGCGCCACAAACACCAAAACTAATGCTAAAGTCGGTCTGCGGATATATATTCGTGTCTGCCTGCAAATCATCCCTCTTCAAATTTCAAAAACCATATATCCGTAGGGCATTATCGTCGTCTGGATCGGCTGGTCATTTTGAATAGGATGCTGCAGGTTTCCCTCGCCGTAAGGCAACATACTAATGCTGCCCGTTTGCGAAGGCAAATTGACAACCTGGCTTCTTGAAGCACCAATTCCACCATTTATCGCTAGTTGCGACACTAGTTCATCACCAAACATTCGTTTTCACTACTTATGTAGGGACCTTGTTCAGGAATAACGACGATGGAATCTATATATTTTAAACTCAGCAAATAGGGGATACCTGTACTTGCTGGCGGACCTTGCATTTGCTGGTGAATTAAGGATCCAGCATTTACCGATGTTGGATTCATGGTTTAGAGTGCCCAAATAGATTCAAAATCAGCAAAGACAATCGACCTTGAAATGAATGAATGATTGCACACTTGTAACTGCCGGGCGTTTCATCGCCTCCCAAACTGTGTTCTTCTTTGCTGCACATCCCTCTTACTACAATAATTTTGTCAGGGAATGGAAAGGAAGCAATTTGTGAAGAAACACAATTCCGGACCTCATAAAAATGGAATCGATTTCAAAGACTTCTTACTGGTTGCTTACCCTCGTTATCTATCTGTGCGTTGCTGCAAATGGGTTTATCGATAATATGCGATCTGTGACATATCCGGATATTATGCAGGAACTGCATCTGGACCACGTACACTATGGTATGTTACAGAGTTTGGGTCAATTCTCCTATCTAATATGGGCACTTTTGGCTGCCTTCTCTATGCCTCATATTGGTTTTAAGGCTACGTTCTCTATCTCTCTTGTAATTACGATTATTGGAAGCTTCCTCACCATCTTTACCTCGAATTTCTGGCTGCTGATGTTTATTCAGTTGTTGGCGACTTGCAGTAACGGTGTTCTGGACGATGGTCCTTCCTCGTTAGCTGTGTTCTTGTTTACAAAGCACCCGGCAGTGATGTTCTGCATTATGTCTGGTATTTACGGATTCGGAGCGTTTGTCGCTCCTATATTTGCGTCCTTTATTCTGAAATACATCAAGGAAAGTAACTACAAGCAAATCTATTTGTGGATGAATATTCCCTTGGCCATGGTTCTCATCTTTATGCTCTGCGTTCCCTTCGCAGTCAAAAAGCCAAAAACCAATCCCGAAGAGAAGAAATCTGTGCTCCACTACTTGCGTTCTCCTCTCATTTGGTATTGTGCGATCTTGCTCAACTTCTTGGCCACTGCAGAGCGAGGAACGCTTAGCTGGGGCACGTTGTACGTTGAGGAAGTGTTACATTTGGATCCCGAGGTGGGTGCGAGACTCAGCTCTCAATTTTATTTCATTTTCATGTGTGCTCGTATGGTTGGAGGCTTCGTCGCCGATTGGATAGGCCCCTTCTTGATGGAGTACATCATCATTCCGCTCGGCATTGTGGTGTACGTAGTCGGATTCCTGCTGGGTAAAAACGGACTGTACGTTCTCCCGTTTACTGGACTCTTCGTGTCGCTCTACTGGCCGACCATGGTGATTTGCTGTCGACGCTACTGGAAGGATGAGGTCTCAATTCCTATCTCGTGTATGCTTCCCTTGCAAAGTGTGGCCGGAATGATTATTCAGTACTCTCTCGGATACATGAACGATAAGTGGGGACCGCAGTATGCTTACTGGATGTCTGTGCCTGCTGCAGTGATCGGGTATTTGATGTTCATTGGCTTTGATTTCATCTGCAAGCGAAAGGAAGAAAAGGAAATAAAGCAACCGTTGATAGAGAACGTCGATGTTGCTTTTTCTGTTTGTTGTTATAGGCTTATTGTTATAGTTGTAGTTATAGTTATAGTTGTTATTATTATAGTTACTATAGTTATTATTATTATAAAATCGCATTTGGTAGTCGAGGAGTAGCAGCTTAAATTGCATAAAAACATTCCTATCCGCTCATCTTTACAAATCAAAGAATAAAATCTATTTCTTTTCTATTTCCATCCTCCAACTATACAATTAAATCAAAATTAACAATGCACCATTTCATTTCTTTCTGTTTATGACTCTTGCGTCGATGCCAATACGAAAATGCATTTGAAAATTGACTTTAAAAGCAATTGAACAGAAAAACATCAAACTGGTAGTTTCGCCTCTTTGTTGCATTCCCATCCCAATGGAGAGCTTATAACAACCCAGTTCGTCTCGGATATTTAAATATACGCCACCTTGAATTCAACAAAAGCCAATCAGATCGCATAGATTTTAATTATGGTTAGGCCGCTCATTTCTTTAATTGTTCAGTCTATACAATAATGAATTCGGTCTTATTAGGATTGATATTGTCTGCTTGCGTTGTCTTCAGTGCTACCACTGACACATCTGACTACTCCTGTGATGAGGCAGGATATCTTAATTATCTAAGTGCGTGGACTGCTACTGAGAAGACCACGTCTCGTGATTCAACTTCTGCGGAATTCAAACAGCGTCTGGAGTACTTCGTTGACTCTTGCGAAAAGATTCATGAATGGAACCTTCGCAATAAGTATCATATGGAGTTCACGTTTTATGCTGATTGGCATGCTGATGAATTCGATATGTTGTCTGTTACCGAACAGAGATATTCTGGATTGAAACCCGAGATTCCTTCCACGACCCCGGTTCTTAACAACTCCAACTGGAGACACTTGCTGCCTCTCACTAATCCTTGTGATGACGTGTTTGATGGGCAGGAGAATATGCTGCACGAGGTTATTGGAAGACCGCAGAACTGCTCTGTTTCTTGGGCTTTTGCTATTACCGACTCCATCGAGTTTGCTATTAAGAAGTTGTATTTGGAAACCTATGACCAGATTGTGGATGTCGCCCTTTCTGCTCAGGAATTGATTGATTGCGTTGCCAAGGACCACGGTATTCAGGGAAATCGCTGCACCGCTGTTCCTCTCGTGTGGGGTTTTGATTACGTTTTCGAGAACGGTATTGCTTACCGCCAGTTCTACCCCCACACCAATATGGAGGCTGATACCTGCAATATGGTGGAGGACTACCAGAAGTATCACATTGCTGGATATGAGAAGCCCCATGTGTACAATAAGCTGGGTCTGTTCGAAATGCTGCTGAAGGGACCTACTGCCGTTGCCTTGGGTCTGGATCCGGAGTACTTCCAGTATTATCGCAGCGACGCTGAGGAGGGTCCTTTCTTCAACACTGCCTATTGGAGACCTTCGGTGTACGGTGTGGTTGTGGAGTACAAGCAGTATGCTGTCGATGGTGAGTCCGAGCTGGCTCAGTGGCCGTTCTTCGCTGTGGAGACCAGACTGCGTGCTTGCGATTCGTTCATTTTCCGTCTGCCCATTTTAGAATCGACGGGTGACGGAAACATTGCTGGTATCGCTGGATTCGCTATTCGTCCCATTGTTAACGAGATGATCTCCTCGGGCACTGAGGCTCCTACTACCGTTGCTCCTACTACTGCTGCTCCTACCACTGTGGCTCCTACCACTGTGGCACCCACTACTATTGCTCCTACTACCGTTGCTCCTACTACCGTTGCTCCTACTACTGTGGCTCCTACCACTGTGGCACCCACTACTATTGCTCCTACTACCGTTGCTCCTACTACTGTGGCACCCACCACTGTGGCACCCACCACTGTGGCACCCACTACTGAGGCGCCTACCACCGTTGCTCCTACTACTGTGGCTCCTACCACTGTCGTTCCTACCACTGAGGCCCCTGTTGTGCCCACTACTGAGGCTCCTACCACCGAGGCTCCCGTTGTTCCTACTACCGAGGCCCCTGTCGTGCCCACTACTGAAACCCCTGTGATTCCCACTACCGAAGCCCCCGCTGTGCCCACCACTGAGACCCCTGTTGTGCCCACTACCGAAGCTCCTGTGGTTCCTACCACCGAGGCCCCTGTGATTCCCACCACCGAAGCTCCTGTCGTGCCCACTACTGAGACCCCCGTTATGCCCACCACCGAGGCTCCTGTCATTCCTACTACCGAGATTCCCACTACTGAGGCTCCTGTGGTTCCTACCACCGAAGCTCCTGTTGTGCCCACTACCGAAGCTCCCACTGTGGCTCCTACTGTTGATACCACCACTGCGGCTCCTACCGTGGCTCCCACCACCGTAGCCCCTACCACTGAGGCTCCCATTGTTCCCACCACTGAGGCTCCTATTGTTCCCACTACTGAGGCTCCCATCGTGCCCACTACTGAGGCTCCTATTGTACCCACTACTGAGGCTCCTATTGTACCCACTACTGAGGCTCCCATTGTTCCCACTACTGAGGCTCCTATTGTACCCACTACTGAGGCTCCTATTGTTCCCACTACTGAGGCTCCCATTGTACCCACTACTGAGGCTCCCATTGTTCCCACTACTGAGGCTCCCATTGTTCCCACCACTGAGGCTCCTATTGTTCCCACCACCGAGGCCCCCATTGTTCCCACTTCGGAGCCCACTGTGAAGCCCACCAGCTTCATTCCTCCCACCACCGAGGCCCCTATGGTGCCTACGACTGAGGGCCCCGCTGTGCCCACCACGGAGCTTCCCACCACAATCCCTGGCCCTGTGACGGTCTACGCCAGCGAGACCGAATTCGCCACCCTTGAGGAGATTCGTAACGATGTCGAGATCCTGGTGTTCATCATTGACTCCTACCCGGATATGATCGAAGTGAATCTGAGCGGGTTCACGAATCTGACTACTCTGGTGTTCGAGTCTGGCTCCTTCAAGAACGCGCAGTCGGTGATCATTGAATCGTCCACGGTGACCCATATCGCTTTCCGTTCCAACACGTTCTACGGAGACTCTGTGGATGGCTCGCTCACTCTGCACACTCCCATGCTGCAGGAAGTGATTTTTGACGCCAACTCCCTTCACTTCATGCACTCCGTTCATTTGAGAGGATTGGGTGCTCCGATCCAGTATTACGTGTACAACGGAGCTCTCGCCAACGTGGATACCATTTACTACATGAATACGTACTCTGGTTATGCTAAGGCGATGGCCGATGCTATTTATGCTTCGGGACATGCGGAGCTTATCAATATTATCGAAGAATCGGTAACGCCTTCTCCCTAAGGAGTGAACCTCATACTACGCTAAACCTAGATCATATCATGTAGTTTTGTTTGTTCGAAAAGCAAGATCCCTGCGTTTGGCTGCCATCGGATCTCTCTGTATGTGTTCGATCAAGGAAGGAATAGAATGAGAAGTTTTCTATTAATGGGCTCCAACAAACAAGGTTATCTTTCATTATCTAAGGCAAAGGAACAAACGGTCATCACGAGTTTGGGACAATCTTTCGTAACAAGGGCACATCTATCATTCACATCCTTTCGTTATCGATGCTACTGCTGATTTGCTCGAGTTGGACATTCTCAAAAGCATCTGGTAGTTGGACGGTTTTCAATCGGGGGATATCTGAATGGATATAGACCCCAGCAAACGATTACTCTCTGCAATCACACACTCTTGATAGCGGAAACTGCATCCCTGCGAAGTAATCGACTTGAGATTTGGAAGATCTGCGGGTTGAAATCGTATATATACAGAATTCACTCTGCAATGTTAATGAGCACAAATCATCATCATATATCCCTTGAAGCGCGAATTTACCCAAAGAGATCGAAGATAGACTTGGTAGATCTTGCCATCAATCACATAACAAAACTTTGTACTTTCCAACAAAACAACCTGCGATTCACAAAAGGCGTAATTCCCCAAAGCGATCGATTGCAGGGCAGCTAAATCTATCTTATCATCATTTCATTCGACTTGTTACTTTGCAGGACAAACGAACACGAATAGAAGTTATGCGATTTCTTCCCAACAACACCGATTTGAATTGATTTCAATGATGGAAGCGACTCCAACTTGAAGTCCCCAGCGAACGTCGAAAAACTATTCTCTCCGATAATGAGTTGACTCAACGCTTTGCAATTTGTGATCGAAAAGGATTGCGATGTGTCATTACAACTTTCGGCGTTGAAACTATTTCGGATGATGGATTGGGTGAACGAGTTTTTTCCGATTTTTATTCGATTAAGTTTGTGCAATCCGTCGATCCGAAACACATTCACCTTCGTAAAACACTCATCCCCAATTTCGAGCGATTCGAGTTGATTCATTTCATTCAAATAGAGCTTATTCATATAGGAATAGGAGCCATCTGGAATCACGAGATTCGATTCCATCACCTTCAGTTCTTTCATTTTTGTTGATGTGTGCATATCAACGAATGTGGATTTCAACTCGCTCGTATTTTGACCTGGATTCTCATTCATTATCACTTCTCGAATGCTTTCCTTCAGTCCCTTCAAATACCAACCTTCATGCAAATCGGCTCCCCTCAGTTCCTTTCCATGATCCCATTCGCTTTCGCGAGTAGCCGTTCCGCTATTCTCATCAATCAAATAGCCGAGTCCATGACGTTTGTAGGACCCATTATCTACACAATACCCTCCAATATACACAGGAACTCGCTTGTAGATTTCCTTATTCTCGCTTCCTGTAAACTCAATCATTGTATTATCTGCTACAAACTCACGAACGATTCGAATCAGTTGGTCGCTTTCCCAGTATCCTTCAATCTTTACTTTCCCACTTTCTCTATCATACTCCATTCCATATCCATTTCGATTCATATCCTCATCAAACTCCCCTCGATAGATTAAACAGCCATTGCTTTCATTTTCTTCTCTTCTTCTTCGAATTACCATTACCAATCCATCTTTTGTGTTTTCTATTACTCTTCGATCCGCTTTCCCACATATCGAATTCCAATTCTCTCTCTCCAATACCTTTCCATGGTCGTATTTGGTAGTATCTACCACTTCTTTCCCATCTCTTATGGTCCATGCTCGTGAGAGGATTCCACGATTGAATAGTTGACAGCTACCCTCAATCGTATCACCTTTCATTTCACTTACCAAATACTCACTCGCATGATCTCCTTTGTACAATCGGATTTCATATTTCACGCCGTTAATAGCTTTTATCCTCTTTTCATCGATTTCGTAGCCCTTCGGATTGAAATAACCAGTATCTGTATTATCGTTCAAATCTATACATAATCGATATGTTTCAAGGTACAACTATTAACTGAACCAATATTACGTTTTCTTTTGTTTGCTATTTTTTATATTCTATATTATTTGGTACATGGCATATTCTATTATACAAAGATAACCGTAACTGGATAATAATGAATGCAATGTTATGATTCGACTTATTCAATATTATGCATCCTCATATACAGTAGTTTGTTCATTATGTTCTACTCCTTCTATGACTATGGGAGGTAATCTCCCCAAAGCAATTCGTGTATAATGCTTTTTTCCTGTCCCTGCAAGCTTTATGAGTGACATGTTAAACATTTCCATACCAAGCAATATTTCCTTTCCAGTTCTTTTTTTTTTCGCAATACAATAAAACCCCGATCACACCAACTATGGACAAAAATATAGTGATTTCGTATGTTGGCATTTAAATCTGCTTTCCGATCAGTCAACAGTCATTTTAGCCTGCGTTGTGCACGATATTTCGGAGAATCGACCAGTAGTAGGAAGTTTTCATTATTCGATGACTTCAGAATATGCCCTATATCATTGGGGATCCAAATCGACTCTTCCATCGAGTAATTCTCTGTCTGTCGTGCCAACTCCAATTCCTGGCTTTGATAAACCTATTATGTCCCTTTCTGTTCGAGGCGACCACTGTGCCGCCGTTACCAGTAGTTATGTGTGCGCCTCGTAAGGAATAGCGGATGGGTATTTGTACACCTGGGGCCAGAACAATCTCTACCAATGCGGACTCGGGCACTGCGAGACCGTTTCTCTCCCCTCCTCCCTCTATCCCTCTAGGTAGAATCTCCGGAGCTCGTCACGACGCTCCAAGACTTCCAGATCGTCCAAGCGGTCTGCGGCGACAGCCACACCGCCGCGCTCAGCCAGGAAGGCTACGTCTTCGTCTGCGGCTACGGCGGGTCTTTCTTGAACTGCGGAGCGCTCGGCACGGGCGACCGCGCCTCGCAAGCGACCCCCGTAGTGATCGACTACTTCTACAACAACGGGATCCGCATCCAAAAGCTCGCCTCGGGGTCGAACTTCATGCTGGCGCTGGACGACGCGGGCGAGCTCTACTCCTGGGGCAACGGGAGGTTCGTAGGCGCACGGCGGGGACGTGAACCGCAGGGCTCGCTGGGTAACGAAGACCAAACCGACCGACTGGAGCCGATCAAATCGAGCTTCAAGTCCCAGTTCGGCAAGATCATCGATGTACGTTTCTTTTTTTATTTTGAATCCTCGTGAGCTCATCCAATAGATCAGCTGCGGCCTCGACGCCTCGATGATCATCACCGAGGATCGCAAACTCTACACTTGGGGACGCAATCAGAGCGCCCAGCTCGGACTTTCCGCCTCTTCCTACGTCGGCCTGCCGCGGAAACTCCTCATCCCCACGCTCGTCGAGCTCCCCGCGGGGGAACTCCCCGTCCGAGGGTCCATGGGAATGGGGTGTGCCGCGGTTATTTGCGAATCGGGGAATGTGTTTTGGTGGGGCATGAAGTGGGTTTTCCCGCGGGATTCGATGTAGTATCCACGAAGAACCGTACCAGGAAGTCCTGTTCACCGCGGGGAACGACAAGAAGCGGCATCTAGAGAAGGCGTGTGATGTGGATTGCGGTCGTGGGATGATCGACCTGATTACGGGTGAGTGCTTGGAATTAGGCTCATTTCAGAGTCTGGACGTCTGCTCACGTGGGGTGACCGCGGGAATCACCCGTTCGGCGTGAAACGGTCGCTGTTCCCGTTCTCGCGGACGCAGGACGCGGAGAGCGTGGAGGAAACGGAGGGACTGAGCTCGACGGACCTGCTGCAGGCGACGGAGGTGGAGACGACGAACCAGGCGGGCCGCGTGTACAAGTAGGAGCGAGGGAGCGATGGCATGTAGGATGAGTGTGGGAACGACGATGGCGGTGGCGGCTGTGGAGATTGCGGAGGAAGGGAAGTGAGAGAGTGAATGCGTGGATGATGGAACAAACATGTTTGTTTTAAAAGTCTTCTTCGAGATCGAGATCGGAGTCGTCATCAAATCCTTTCGTGCGACGGATCTAGGGCTTATCAGGGATGCGGAAACGAACCGTCACCGTGGTGTGCGTTGAGGTATCCATTCCTTCCAGAATCTGCTTGATTTGCTCATCAGTGACCTGGCATTTAGCCCTCCAACAAACTTTTACTGTTGCCACTTGACCTTGTTGGGCCAATATGATAATACGATCTTCAATATTGCGAGCTTTTGCAGGATCGACAAGAGCAATTCTTCCTACTATCTCTGAGTTCATTGCACTGAAGATTACATCGTGCTCGTGCCTCATTATCGATAAGAGAGTGAAGCATGTTCTTTCTAGCCTCTTCTTGGGCTCTACATCTCATTCTCTACCCTGCGCGCCGTACTGTTTCTGTTCCTGTGCACTCTGCTGGTTTTGAGAGTTTGGTACCTATTTCAGGATAACAACGAACGAAGCTACTTGCGCGCTCTACTCCATTACTTTTCCAGCCCACACTCCTACCATAATTCAAACAGCCACAACAACAACAACAAAAATGCCAGAATCGATTCAAGCAGCGTTTCCAACAAACAACTCCACACCAAATTGCAAAACTAGCAACACTAAGAACTCCCAGTTTAACACAGAGCCCATTTCTCCATGACCTTGACATGTTCCGGATAGAGTCTGTAATAGTCATCCCAGAGCATTTCCTCCACAGAGAACACCAAATCCATCGGATTCATGAGCTTCGAATACTCTCCATCCCACACCCATCTACCCATCATGCCTCGCCCGCGAGCCGACTCGATATGAAGCAAACGGCAAGCAGCAGAAAAGCAGACGTCTGCTTGCAGCGACGGGGAAAATTGTCTATACTTGTAAAGACTGGACAAAAGATCCAGAAAGAACGAGCAGTAAGCGACCAGAGAATGGGGAACTGCTCTTCTTGAAGAGAAAGCGAATGCAAGAAGAGGAGAAGTGTAGAGAGATAAAAAATGAGAGGCAGTGATGGAGTGAAGATTCCACTGCAAACTACGCATCATGAGAGCATGCGACAAAATGGCGTACACAGAGAGCACCTCCATTTCCATTTGACTGTATTCACTCAGCGATTCACAAAAGCGATTAGGAAACGAGATGATGTCAGCGACCGACATCACTCTTTCACAGTTTTCTTCATACTTGTAGGCAATCATTACACAGGTAAATGCATACGGACAGTAAAGAGACACAGGAAAAGACACAGAATCGAGTAAACGGCAAAAGTAACTGGATTTGAGTGCTATATATGCAGCATACCTTAAGGCAACTAGCTTTGTTTGCTGTGAAAAGTGCAGATCATTTTCGAGCATTGTCAATATGCTAAATAACTCACTGTAGACACGAGAAAAAATTGAGCCAGGTTCATAGAATGTGTAATCGCTCTCTTTTCGCTTCATTAGTCGAAGAGTGAGCAACTGTTCGTAGGCATCATATACACTCAGAGAACTCTGATTATCAGCGAGACAAACATATACGTACATCCTGATTTAGTCTGGAACAACTTACTACTTTAATGACCTTTTGAAGCTTGGGCCTTCCATAATGTACCGAACTCATATTATAATCTCGTACGTTCTCAGCGCGATCCCAGAATCCAAGAAACAAACTTTTCTATATCACTTGAGGTATAAATTCCCAACCCGCGGGGATCTTATTTCAATTCGTCTTCAAATCCAACAAACATGAATCTTTCCTTTCCTCTCTACATATGCTTTCTCCGAATAAACTCTTTCCCAAATGCAGTGACTCGCTTCGAAGTTCCCAGCAGATCCTGCAAATAGAGCAAGATCTGGCTGTCGTCCAAATCTCTGCAAAATTCGAGCAGGGAAATATCGTCGCTTCCATACAGCTCCATCATTTGGTCTCTACACCACTCTTCGAACGCATCGGAATTCTCCGTTCCCTCCATTCTTCGCGTCTCCACTTTTCCCGCCTTTTGCTTCGCTCCATCCAAAAAACTTGAGCTTCTCACTGGTTCTTTCATTTCGCTCGTTTGCTTCGTCTGCGTTGTCTGCTTCGCCTCCTCCTCCTTCTTTTCTCTCGCAATCAGCGACGTGGGGACCACATTCTGCCGAAGCACCGATCCCCAGCCTTTCTGCGTTTCCGCCTTCTGCTTCTGCTTCTGCCTCTCCTTTTCTTCCTGCTGCTGTCTCTGGATTTCCTTGAACGAGATCACGTGACTTCCTCCGGCATTTCCTCCCAGTCCTTTCTTCCCGCTTCCACCGAGTCCGTTTTCTCCACTGCCCGCACCGATCCTCAAGGACGACCCATCTCCCCTGGTACCATTGGATCCATTGGTTGCATCAGTAGCTGCATTCGCTGCATTAGCTTGCGCGAATCGCGCGGGCTGCGCGGGCTGCGCGAGAGCGGCAAGGTCCACCGTCTTCCACTGCACGTTCTTCCCCTTCTTCGCCGCGGGCCTCGCCTTCTCCTCCTCCCTCCGCTCGCTCTCCAGCAGGCTCGCCAGCGACACCGCGTTCTGCGGCGCCCGCACGCCCCACACGCTCTCCCGCGCGCTCTCCTCCTCGCTCCGCTCCACCGCACACCCGATCCGACTGCTGTACCCCGCGCTCCCCGCGGGAGCCGCCCCGCCGCCCAGCGGCTGCTTCGTCCACGGCGAGATCGTCGGCCGCGGCGCCGGCTTCCGCGGGACTGGCTCCAATCCTGGGGGCGGCGCGAGGGGCACGGAGCGCGCGTCGCGCGCCAGGGAGAGCGCGGGGGCGTGGAGAAGGTCGATGGCGAGCGGCGCGGGCGGAGGGGGCGTGTCGTCGCGCTGGAGAGCGTCGGAGGTCTGCAGAGACAGCGCGGCTTGGAGGGAGATCGCGTTGGACGGAGCCGTCTAGAGAGAAGGGAGAAACCGGGGAAACCTCGATGGACTCGTGGATGTGGGTCGCGCGAGGACGCTCGGAGTGGCTGTAGTTCAGCTCCAAGGGCAGCACCACGCGACTCCCCTTCCGAGAACTCGTTGAAACCACCGGCGAGGATGAAACGCCCGATGGCGGGCAGCGGAGCGCGGCAGGCGAAGAAATGGAGGGCGTTTCATCGAAGGAGTGGGAGGGCGTTTCATTGAAAGAGTGGGAGGGCGTTTCATTGGGCGTTTCCTCGACTGCAGTGTGCATCAATTGGGATGGAGGGACTGGGTAGCTTCGTGGGGTTTCCCCGGTTTCCCCGGTTTCCTTGGCGGCTCGCTCGGACTCCTTCTTTCGGAGAATCTGCTTGACGGTCCTGGGCATTCTCCGCTCCTTCTCGCTCTCCGGCGCGTCCAAAAAGGCGTCCACGACATCGGCGAAATAGAAGCGCAGCGGCTTCCAGGGCCCGTTGCGATAGCGCAGCATCAGCGTGGGCGTCAGGAAGCCCTGCTCCATCCAGGCCCGCATCGTGCTGTTGGGATAGGGACCCTTCTCAAAGCCCTGCGCATCAATAAACGTCCACACCTTCTCCTCACCATTCTCATTCATTTCATTATTCATTTCATCATTCATTTCATTATTCATTTCATTATTCATTTCATTATTCATTTCATTATTCACTTCATTATTCACTTCATTATTCACTTCATTATTCACTCCATTATTCACTTCATTATTCATTTCCTCCTTCCACGAAGACACCAACGCATCCACTTCCTCTTCATTCAGGTCCACGCCGCGGGCTTCGCACGCCTGCTGCGCCACCATTCCCGGATCCAAACTCTGCGTTATGTGGAACATCGGACGGGAGAAACTACCGATCGCCTCCCCGCCATTCCGGCGAAACCCCCCGCGGCGACGCTCTCGAAGCTGCTCTCGCTCGGTTACCGCCTGCGAATGCAGCAACGCCGCCTCCAGAGCGGCCTCCGCGGCAGCGGTCGAGCCAGCGGCCGAACCGGCGGAATGGTCGCTGGGCGTTACGACGTTGGGAGCGATGTAACGCTGCGGACGACCCTCGAGGGCACGTTCCCAAGCGAGAGTGAGCTGAGAGGGAAAGAGAGAGAGGAAGGTACTTCTTCGTCGGTGAGAGGGGTTTGGAAGAAGGGAGTGAGCGGAGTGGGATTGATCTGGCGATGATGAAACGATGGAGAGAGAGTACGTTGGAAAGAGACGCGAGAGACTCGGCCATTGGAGGAGGCGAGTATAGATTTTCGAGATCCTGTACGGAAAGAGAAACCACTAACTAGGAGGCATCGAAGGAAAGGAACGTTTTCTTTGATCGAGTTGGTCGATTAGAACGCGACGCTCGGTGCGGACCTTGCGTTTGGGAACGTAGGGACGTGAAGTGCCACCGACGTTGCGAGAAGCTTTGTCTTTGCTCTGTTTGTTAGAGAAATCGATTGTGATCACATACATTCATGTATGGAAATAAGTTGGGATTGTTTTCTGATGGATGGGAGTCAACCCATTTGGCTGTTGAAGAGCCACAGATGAAAGAGCACGGAGTAATCAAGAATATTTCCAACAAACACTTCGTTTTCGAAAAGCATTTGACATTCATGTTATACCTCTCTTTCTTTTTCATTTTCTTGATTCTACACTTTATCTTCTATCTTGCTCTATCCATACATCGAAGCCACCATTCCATTTACTCCTCGGCCATACCTGAATCGCCTTCTTCTTCTTCTTCCTCCTCCTCCTCCTCCTCTTCTTCTACTTCCTCCTCCAGTGTTTCCTTCAACGGATCAACATACTGCATAACTTCTCTCCCCTACGCCTACGGTTCTCTCAACGACCTGCGTCTTAATCTCCTTTCCATCCAGTCGCAGCGTCAATTCTCCCTTCTCTATATCGATCACCGCTTTGTACTTCTTCAAAAAGTCCAATCCAAGCAGACACGCGCTTCGCTCCGTCTCTCCAGGCATCACTGCCCCTCATTCCTCTCTCTATTTTCCTACCCATCGCACTGGTCGCGAAGTACTCTCCCTCAATACACACATCAAACGCGTTCAATGCGCCGTCCGTAGTCGACACTCCCACTCCCAGCAGCATTGGCTGAATGGCCTCGTTGATCACACGACGCAGCGACGCGGCCTCTGCGACCTTGCTGGTGATAACGGTTGACTGAGCTCCGGTATCCACCACGAAATTCACACGCGTCTGAAGGCGTCAAAGAGCGAACGAAAAGCAACATTGTTGATGGTAACGGGGAGATACAGGTGGAGGCCTCGCTTACGAAGCGGAATTGCCTGGGTGAGAGCGAGGTTTCGGCGATGAATCATGTCCAATGCATGCTGCTGCGCCTCGGGAGCCATCTCGTCCATTTCGTCGAATTCCATTTCATAGTTCTGTTAGACATCAAAAAAGAGAGATAGAAATACATCGGCCTCAATTTGCTCGAAGTACAGATTGATAAACTGCAGTAGAAGATAGCTAGGCATCATGTACTCCCATTCACACAAATACCGGAGGACCTGCTTTGAATCGCCCGCTGTGATAACTCTAGAAAGATCGGGAAACATCGAACTCAGCTACAACTATACGAAAATATTCTTCTTCACCTCATCTCGGAAGGTACTGTTCTCACGATACAGCTTAATGATCTCATCAACCGGAGTAGAGAGTAGCATTGAAAATACATTCTCCAAGGAAGCTAGAAACAAATCAAGTGCTGAGATATACATTGCGATATGGATTCAAGCTGAATAATATCATCATTGCTAATTGAAAGATCCGAAATCTATGATTGGCGCGTAACAACAAAAATTACCAGACTCGCATCATCCAGCTCGTTATCTCTAAATACAAGTTGCTGATCAGAGACAGGAACCGAATACTAAAAGAATGAGAGCGAATGCTCTGACAAATTACTCTTCGTGAAATAAGGACCTTGATGTCCTTCACAGTGTTGCATCCGGTAATATCCAGAGGGTGCAAAGCCCCCATAACATAGAGCTGAACAATCATAATTAATATGAGTCACTTGGATCATATGTGATTAAGTGAAGCGTCAAGTTCGAAAATGAGTAAGTGAAGTATGGTGTCTATTTGGAGACACATGACTCCAACAATTCGTGGTAACCAGAATGGTATCAAGATGGTGACTGCATGTAGTATTGTTTAGGGAAGAAAAAGGATGAGGTTACGTTTAATGGATATCTAGAATGGTTGACAGATTCTCTTACTTATCATCAATAATCCGTTTATTCTACTCGTTTAAGAGCGTTGAGGTAAATCTTTAACCATTTCGTTGTTAGTCACTATTCATAGTGTACTAATTTACAAAAACAATTCCTTTTCTATGGTTCACTTTTATCTAAATATCAATGAAGTTACGTTTTTCTATAAATACACATCGTCAAAAAATAGCATCATCAATATTATTCACGTTTATTCTTGATATGATAGGATAATTAAAAGCATAAATGGAATTAGTATTTATAAAGGCATAGAGTGAAATATAGGCATTATTACAATAATCGAATTTAGTGGAGTGATGTTTCATATTACTTTCAGGGAAATCAATTTGTCCAAATGCTGGAAGGTTTCGTACAGGATTTGTTAAAAGTACCAAAAAATATACCCATCCTTTCTTTAAGAAAGCACATGCATTATACAGCAAGAATTTTGGGCTGATATGAGGTTTGTATTATTTAGTGAAAATGGGTGTTGGAAAAGCTGAAAGATGAAGAATCTGTGATTGCATGCGCAATCACTATTTATATTTGTTTAAGGAAAGCACCACAGCAACTATATCCTTTTTCATGTACAAATGTTGAGACAATATGATTTGGTGTTCCCTCTCATAAATGAATGAATGATACGATTAACATGTACATTCCAGATTTGTAAAATCGTATCACTAAATAGGATTTAGATAACTGTGAAAACACAGTATGTCTTATCACATTCAGATTCACTGAGTTTAGTAACGTCGCAATACTGTAGACTTTCGTGTATAGAAAATCGATAATGTTAAAAATAGGATTGATTACTGTAATACGAGTGTAACAATGGCTTATGATCATCTGCTTCTGGTTGAATTCGTTCTCTATTAGTAGAGTTAAGACAGCATTCTTTCAATTCAACATGTTTTTTATAACTACAATGAGTTTTCAAAATTATTTAATGGAAAGTTTAAATGTGGCTGTTGCATAAGAAAAAGCATGAGAGAAATCAGTTTCTACTGTTTACGAGAGTTAACAATACGATTACATCAAATTCCAGATTGCTGATCTTATTTAGAATTTCTTGTTGGGTTTCTGTGTGTCAGCGAATGATGATGATATAGGTGTTATTCTGAATGGAATTGGGTTCTTTCAATCTGATTGCTTGAGAGAAAGAGTCTAGGAACAGATAACATGCATATGACTAAATCGATAGGGCTTTCAATTGCATCAGCGGTAAACATCTCAAAGTGGCCGCGTCATAGTGGATACTAATAATCTGGTTAGTTATTGATATAGTTCAGAAATAACACCATAATGTTGGCAACTTTGATGTTTCTTCGATTCTACTCATGTATAAATACATACTGGCTAGAGTGTAAAGTGAATCAAATAAAGGTAATTCAGAGAAAAATCACATCACCTACTTGTATGACATTCACAAACAGGCTGTTCGATTTCTAAAGAGAATATGCTTGAGAACGAAACAAAAAAAAGACTTGCGACAACATATTCATAAACTTTTACAATAAATAATATTGATGTTGTGCAAACAAAAGATAATCCTATTATGCAACGTACCTATGCTTTAAGTCGTTTGTAGCATGACCTACAGTCTATAAAATCATGCCATTCCCCATTAATTCAATCAGTTTAGTACTCATTTCGATACTTGCTATTTTTATCGACCGTTCTATGTTGAACATTAGCTGAATAGCTATTTGCGATCATTACACTTAATTCTATTCGAAAAGTATATTTTTCATTTGTACATAATACAGTACGTAGTTTTGAATACATGCCGGGCATAGCATTTTCTACAGAACCGGAAATAATTATCAATTTGATATTCGTCATTTATATTTGATACCAAAGCAACAAACAAACCAGAAAGTGCTACATTGAATTGAAATGGCGTTTTCTTGTCACCTCGTTAGGCAGATTTACAGTACACATCAAGAAATAGTATAGCAAGTAAGAGAGTTTGTAAATTGTCGTACGTCAATAGAAGATCAAAGAATCCTGTCTATAGTTAGAGTATCATCAACAATATGATAGAAGCACAAATTATCCTAGGATTTTCCTTCAAAGATGAACAATTTGGATGTTGTGGGGAAACACCGAAATAGTCCTTAAAATGGAAATAAATGAGCGGAGTTATATTTCCGTATCATGTTACTTTTAAATGCAAACTTTTGATTGTTATACATGATAAGGCAAATATGAATGGATATAAATGAAACGCACAAAACGGACAGTCATCATTTGATTATCAAGGATCTAGTAGATTCGGTTTTACCTTGGCTTTTACACACTATTATCTATTGATTGTAAATGAGTAATCTGCCAAAGGGTGCTATTCACGTTACTAACATCGAATTACCAACAATAAACAATGCTAGTGATAACACTGACGAAAAAGACAAGTGGTGGGAATACAACGTTTCTGAGCAGTTCCCTATAAAGTCAAGAAGAGAAACAAATGGTCCCACTCATATTGAAGTTGGCAAACCTCATGAAGGTTGTCTTATCAAAACAACAATGAAAAACGGGAAAATGAACGGAGAATCGAGTATTTATTCTCAGGATAATACTCTAATGGCAACTCTGACATTTGTGAATGGAATCGCTTCAGGACCTTGCACACTCTGTAAAAATGGTATTTTGTTCTATAAGGGTTTCTTTGTAAACGGATATCGAGAGGGAAGAGGACAAGAATATGATGAAAATGGCAACGTGGTATTTGATGGATATTATAAGAAAGGTAAGAAACTGAATATAGTACCATCGAGTGAAATGGGAAAGGGATATTGGAAAGAGTTGGATGAAAAAGGAAGAATCATTCGAATTAGTCAGAAAGATGAGTTGGGAAATAGTGAAGGGTTTTGTTATTCTTATGAGGATGGAAAGATTAGTCGTGTGAGTGTATGGAAAGAAGGTAAAGAAGTGAAATTATTGAAACAATTTCGTGATGATAGAATGATAGAATATAGGAATGGTGAGAAAGTGTATGAAGGAGGATTTGTTGATAGTTTGGAAATGGGTTATCCACGAAAAGAAGAAAACGAAGAATTTGGAAAGGATGAAAATACGAAGGTAAAGAAAGGCGATCCTTCTAAATTGAATACAGCAAGATTGTATGGAACACTACTGGAGAATAGATATATATCAATGATTGTAGCTGTAATTTCTATCATACTTTTCTTTATCTATTTCACAGCAATCTATCCGAACAATGGACCACATGGAATCAGATATAGGCAAGAATCATACATAGTAGAATCAGGATATGGAAAATATGTAACTATATTTGAATTGTCTAATTATCCTTATCTAAAGAGAATTGAAATTGGCCATGATTGCTTTGTAAACGTGCACACATTTAGGATTGATGGATTGAATCGATTGAAAACTATCAAAATCGGAAGTGATTCATTTACTCAGGAAAAGAAATATTATGGAGATAAATATGATGAATGGAAATCATTCCACATATTGAATTGTGAATCATTGGAATCCATTCAAATTGGTGAATATAGTTTCAGTGATTATGCTGGAGATTTTGAATTGAAGAATTGTCCACAATTACAATCCATTCAAATTGGTGAAATTGGAAGTAACATCATACAATTTCTATGGTAGTTCATTTGTGATTCGAGGTATTGATATGATATTGAATATTTGGATAATGCATAGATCTTCCAAATCTACGATCCATTACATTAGGTGATCGTGCATTCGATGATTCCTTATCGACAATAATTGAAAGTATTGAATGAATTCGAATGAAATGATTGATGTAGATCTTCCATCATTACAATCCATTCAACTCGGTGAATGGGCACTTCAAGGAAGAAATAATGATTTTTGTTCATTGACACTTCGAAGTAATAATGAATTGATTGGTTATGATTTGATTTGTAGATCTTCCAAATCTAACATCAATAACTTCTGTTTATCGTAGTTTCTATAATCCTCGTGTAGTGACATTGGAAAGTATTTCTGAATATTGAATATTGATATTATTTAGATATTCCAAATCTTCAAAATGTCGAGCTACCTGATTCATTTGTTTATGTAGAGAATAGTGATTGTAAAAGTATCTTTCATGTTTCTTATTGACATTAGATTGCGGTGCACTAACTGCGTTTGTCGATTGTCAACTCTATATTCAATCGTTAAATTCATCTATCAATTCTATAATCATTCCAAGTTGGGCTTGTAGGGATAAAGAATACACAATATTTGATTTCTCGCGATTTACTCTAGTTGAATCAATTGAAATTGGCGATGGTAGTTTTGAATCAGTGAAAACATTCAAAATCGATGGATTGAATCGATTGAAAACTATCAAAATCGGAAGCAATTCATTTACTCAAGAGAAGAATTATGATGGAAATGATGAATCGAAATCATTCCACATATTGAATTGTGAGTCATTGGAATCCATTCAAATTGATAAATACAGTTTCAGTGATTTTGGAGGCGAATTTGAATTGAAGAATCTACCACAATTACAATCCATTCAAATTGGTACAATTGGACGTGATTCAAGCAATTTCTGGGGTAGTTCATTTGTGATTCGAGGTATTGATATGATATTGAATATTTGAATGATGCATAGATCTTCCAAATCTACAATCCATTACATTAGGTAATTATGCATTCTCTGATTCCTTCTCAACAATAATTGAAAGTATTGAATGAATTCGAATGAAATGATTGATGTAGATCTTCCATCATTACAATCCATTCAACTCGGTTATTATGCACTTCAAG